TGTTATTGTTCTGAATCACATACAATTCTAGTGTTTCGTGTCACCTGATTGGATCGTGGTGAGATTGTTATGCATGGACCGTGTGGTGTTAGACTGTTATGTTAGTGTTTGTGTGACCTGATTGAATGACTGTTCTGCATGGACCCTAGTGTTTGTGTGATCTGACCTGAATCATTAGTGACTGTTCTGCATGGACCCTGGTGTTTGTGTGATCTGATTGAATCGTAGTGACTGTTCTGCACATACCCTAGTGTTTGTGTGGACCTGATTGAATCGTGAAGTGACTGTGCATGGACCTGTGTGACCTGATTGAATCAGAGTTACTGTTCTGTATGGGACCGAGTGTTTGTGTGATCTGATTGAATAAGTAGTGACTGTTCTTCATAGTGTTTGTGTATTCCGTTGAGTCTCGTGACTGTTCTGCATGGACCCTAGTGTTTGTGTGATCTGATTGAATCTGACCCTGGTGTTTGAATCTGTGTGACCTGTGATTGAATCGTACTGTTCTGCACATACCCTAGTGTTAGTGTTTGTGTGACCTGATTGAATCGTAGTGACTGTTCTGCACATACCCTGGTGTTTGTGTGATGTGATTGAATGGTAGTGACTGTTCTGCACATACCTAGTGTTTGTGTGACCTGACTGAATCGTAGTTATTGTTCTGCACATACCCTAGTGTTTGTGTGACCTGATTGAATCGTAGTGACTGTTATGCATGGACCGTAGTGTTTGTGTGACCTGATTGAATCGTAGTGACTGTTGTGCATGGACCGTAGTGTTTGTGTGATCTGATTGAATCGTAGTGACTGTTATGCATGGACCGTAGTGTTTGTGTGACCTGATTGAATCGTAGTGACTGTTATGAATGGACCGTAGTGTTTGTGTGACCTGATTGAATCATAGTGACTGTTCTGCATGGACCGTAGTGTTTGTGTGACCTGATTGAATCGTAGTGACTGTTATGCATGGACCGTAGTGTTAGTGTGACCTGATTGAATCATAGTGACTGTTATGCATGGACCGTGGTGTTTGTGTGATCTGATTGAATCGTGAGTGACTGTTATGCATGGACCCTAGTGTTTGTGTGATCTGACTGAATCGTGAGTGACTGTTCTGCCGGACCGTAGTGTTTGTGTGATCTGATTGAATCGTAGTGACTGTTATGCATGGACCGTAGTGTTAGTGTGACCTGATTGAATCGAAGTGACTGTTATGCATGGACCCTAGTGTTTGTGTGACCTGATTGAATCGTAGTGACTGTTCTGCCCGGACCGTAGTGTTTGTGTGATCTGATTGAATCGTAGTGACTGTTATGCATGGACCCTAGTGTTTGTGTGACCTGATTGAATCGTAGTGACTGTTCTGCATGGACCCCTAGTGTTTGTGTGACCTGATTGAATCGTAGTGACTGTTCTGCACATACCCTGAAGTGTTGTTTGTGTGATCTGATTGAATCGTAGTGACTGTTCTGCACATACCCTGGTGTTTGTGTGATCTGATTGAATCGACCGTTAGTGACTGTTCTGCACATGCCTAGTGTGTGACCTGACTGAATCGTAGTTATTGTTCTGCACATACCCTAGTGTTTGTGTGACCTGATTGAATCGTAGTGACTGTTCTGGACCCTAGTGTGTTAGTGTGATCTGATTTGAATCGTAGTGACTGTTCTGCACATACCCTAGTGTCTGTGTGATCTGATTGAATCGTAGTGTCTGTTCTGCACATACCCTGGTGTTTGTGTGATCTGATTGAATCGTAGTGACTGTTCTGCACATACCCTGGTGTTTGTGTGATCTGATTGAATCGTAGTGACTGTTCTGCACATACCCTGGTGTTTGTGTGATGTGATTGAATCGTAGTGACTGTTCTGCACATACCTAGTGTTTGTGTGACCTGACTGAATCGTAGTTATTGTTCTGCACATACCCTAGTGTTTGTGTGACCTGATTGAATCGTAGTGACTGTTATGCATGGACCGTAGTGTTTGTGTGACCTGATTGAATCGTAGTGACTGTTGTGCATGGACCGTAGTGTTTGTGTGATCTGATTGAATCGTAGTGACTGTTATGCATGGACCGTAGTGTTTGTGTGACCTGATTGAATCGTAGTGACTGTTATGAATGGACCGTAGTGTTTGTGTGACCTGATTGAATCATAGTGACTGTTCTGCATGGACCGTAGTGTTTGTGTGACCTGATTGAATCGTAGTGACTGTTATGCATGGACCGTAGTGTTAGTGTGACCTGATTGAATCATAGTGACTGTTATGCATGGACCGTAGTGTTTGTGTGATCTGATTGAATCGTAGTGACTGTTATGCATGGACCCTAGTGTTTGTGTGATCTGACTGAATCGTAGTGACTGTTCTGCCCGGACCGTAGTGTTTGTGTGATCTGATTGAATCGTAGTGACTGTTATGCATGGACCCTAGTGTTAGTGTGACCTGATTGAATCGTAGTGACTGTTATGCATGGACCCTAGTGTTTGTGTGACCTGATTGAATCGTAGTGACTGTTCTGCATGGACCGTAGTGTTTGTGTGATCTGATTGAATCGTAGTGACTGTTATGCATGGACCCTAGTGTTTGTGTGACCTGATTGAATCGTAGTGACTGTTCTGCATGGACCCCTAGTGTTTGTGTGACCTGATTGAATCGTAGTGACTGTTCTGCACATACCCTGGTGTTTGTGTGATCTGATTGAATCGTAGTGACTGTTCTGCACATACCCTGGTGTTTGTGTGATCTGATTGAATCGTAGTGACTGTTCTGCACATGCCTAGTGTGTGACCTGACTGAATCGTAGTTATTGTTCTGCACATACCCTAGTGTTTGTGTGACCTGATTGAATCGTAGTGACTGTTCTGCATGGACCCTAGTGTTAGTGTGATCTGATTGAATCGTAGTGACTGTTCTGCACATACCCTAGTGTCTGTGTGATCTGATTGAATCGTAGTGACTGTTCTGCACATACCCTGGTGTTTGTGTGATCTGATTGAATCGTAGTGACTGTTCTGCATGGTCCCTAGTGTTTGTGTGATCTGATTGAATCGTAGTTATTGTTCTGCACATACCCTAGTGTTTGTGTGACCTGATTGAATCGTAGTGACTGTTCTGCATGGACCGTAGTGTTTGTGTGACCTGACTGAATCGTAGTTACTGTTCTGCACATACCCTAGTGTTTGTGTGACCTGATTGAATCGTAGTGACTGTTCTGCATGGACCCTAGTGTTTGTGTGATCTGATTGAATCGTAGTGACTGTTCTGCACATACCCTAGTGTTTGTGTGACCTGATTGAATCGTAGTGACTGTTCTGCACATACCCTAGTGTTTGTGTGATCTGATTGAATCGTAGTGACTGTTCTGCATGGTCCCTAGTGTTAGTGTGATCTGATTGAATCGTAGTTATTGTTCTGCACATACCCTAGTGTTTGTGTGACCTGATTGAATCGTAGTGACTGTTCTGCATGGACCGTAGTGTTTGTGTGATCTGACTGAATCGTAGTGACTGTTCTGCACATACCCTAGTGTTTGTGTGATCTGACTGAATCGTAGTGACTGTTCTGCATGGACCCTAGTGTTTGTGTGATCTGACTGAATCGTAGTGACTGTTCTGCATGGACCCTAGTGTTAGTGTGATCTGACTGAATCGTAGTGACTGTTCTGCACATGCCCTGGTGTTTGTGTGACCTGATTGAATCGTAGTGACTGTTCTGCATGGACCCTAGTGTTAGTGTGACCTGATTGAATCGTAGTGACTGTTCTGCATGGACCCTAGTGTTTGTGTGATCTGATTGAATCGTAGTGACTGTTCTGCATGGACCCTAGTGTTTGTGTGATCTGACTGAGTCGTAGTGACTGTTCTGCATGGACTCTAGTGTTAGTGTGACCTGATTGAATCGTAGTGACTGTTCTGCATGGACCCTAGTGTTTGTGTGACCTGAATGAATCGTAGTGACTGTTCTGCATGGACCCTAGTGTTAGTGTGACCTGACTGAATCGTAGTGACTGTTCTGCACATACCCTGGTGTTTGTGTGACCTGACTGAACCGTAGTGACTGTTTTTCATGGACCTCTTGCGTTTGCCTATTATATATGGACTACTGCAGTTGTATGCTCTGGATTCTGATATTTTGGGCTCTTCATGGACCCGTTGAAGTGTTCTGAACGTATCCTTGTGGACGTGTCTGCTGAATGGACCATCGTCTTTGAGTTTTACAAGTTTAGCACATTCAAATATACTGACAACATAACTTTGATAAACATCCATAATGTGACTCCCACAATGACTGCCAGGTCGCGCGGGCATATACTGACCATACTTGCAAACATCAGACAGGATTTCAATGAGCATGCTTTTGCTCTATTGCATATATATAGTACTAAAGCTTAAAACATGGTTTCTGTACATGTAGCTCTGACATGATAGCTTTGACTATTCAAGATGAAGAGGAATACAATTTGCTTGAAACAATTAATAATTGTTAAACCTTACTTAATGCACACACACCAAATGGCAATGTAAGCAAACAGTGACAAGGACCTTTGACCTCTTGAATCCAACTGATATTGATAAGCCCTAATGTCTGTAATATTTCTGCTTTTTGTGAAGCACCAACGTTTCAATACCCAATACCAGTACCAATAAAATCTTACTTGGCGCTGATCGTTTTTTAACTGACATACAAGGTAGTTACCCCGCCAGAGAAAACAAGAGCAAGCATTTGTAACCCACATATTTCTGGATACATACAAGCAGACACATGCACACACACACACACACACACACACACACGCACACACACACACACACAGAGCACAGCACACACACACACACATACACACACACACACACACACACACACACGCACACACGCACGCACGCATGCACGCACGCAAACATGCACGCACGCAAACATCACACGCGCACTTGCATGCATTACAGTTAACAGTTTTATGTTAAGCCCCATGTCAGTTCACCTCATATGTTCTCAGACTTACTCTACAAACTCCTGCATGATCTTCTCAAGACCGTCCATGGTCAGGCTGGGGTCCTTGAAGCGACCCTGAATGGCTGGAGAACATTTCGTGATAGCAGTCTGAGAGTGCATGCTGGAGACGTTCACAACCCTGCCAACACAATAGAAGGGGCACCTGTACATGTATCAATAACAAGGGGCACCTGTACATGTATCAATAACAAGGGGCAAATGTACATGTATCAATAACAAGGGGCAAATGTACATGTATCAATAAGAAAGGGCATATGTACTTGTATCAATAACAAGAGGCAGCTGTACATGTATCAATAACAAGGGGCAGCTGTGCAAATATCAATAAGAAAGGGCATATGTACTTGTATCAATAACAAGAGGCAGCTGTGCATATATCAATGACAAGGGGCAGCTGTATAAATATATCAATAACAAGGGGCAGCAGTACATATATCAATGACAAGGGGCAGCTGTGCATATATCAATGACAAGGGGCAGCTGTACATATATCAATAACAAGCGGCAGCTGTACATACATCAATAACAAGGGGCAGCTGTACATGCATCAATAACAGGGGGCAGCTGTACATATATCAATAACAAGGGGTAGATGGTACATGTATCAATAACAAGGGGTAGCTGGTTTGTTGTGTCGTAGGCAGGTACAATATATCACAACAACCCTTCAAGTGAGCTGATGTGCTGTGTTGTACCCGCCATAAGTAATAAATAAAGATATGTCTTGTTGTGTCTCACCTGGCATGAGGTCGAAGCAGAGGGAAGAGAATACGGCAGACATCAAGGGTGGCCGAGAAATTGGTTTTACATATAGGATCAACTCTCTCCGAGAAAGGTAATGGGTCGGTTTCCTGAAATAACCTAGGATATTAGTCTGGTGTTTATTGTGCCCATTTGATTTTATGTTGTTATACACCAAAGATGTGTCCAACAAAATGGTTTGTACTTTAAGGTCTTTATTTTCGCGCGAATTTTGAAGCAAATGCGTGCGTGAGTATGGGTGGACGCCGCCGTCTTTTGTTGTTGCCATATTCCAGTCAAGCAAAATCATGGCATCGAACACCAAAAGTGGGACTCACATATTGGTACATGTGGGTTCTAGGGTCTTCGGCGTGACGAGCAAACGCTTTAAACCATTCTCTTACAAATGCAATATGTTTGAGTTTTACGCCGCACTCAGCAACATTCCAGCTATATGGTGGCGGTCTGTAAATAATCGAATCTGGACCAGACAATCCAGTGATCAACAGCATGAACATCGATCTACGCAATTGGGATACGATGACATGTGTCAACCCAGTCAGCGAGCCTGACCACCCGATCCCGTTAGTCGCCTCTTACGACAAGCATGGGTTACTGAAGGTTCATTCTAACCCGGTTATCATATGAACTTGATGATGGAAACAGTATTATATTGTATATCAACATTCTGATGTAGAACTAATATCAGTTTACTGTTCACCCATCAAGAAGAGCATCACCAGAGGTTTCAAGCTTTGGCTACGTTTAATGTGTCTGTCCAACTCAATATACACATTCGTAACTACTCGTGTCATTCCGGCTCACGGAAAGAGGCGAGTAGTTACGAATGCAATATACACAAACGCTGTGATACTTTCCTGACAACTACTTGGAAGAAACTCTGTGATAACCATGATAACTGCATGTCATGCATTCAGAATGTTGGACAGCAAGTGAAGTTTGCTAGAATCAGCAATTAACCAGCAAGATTACCGACGACAATGACTTCATACGTCTGGACCAGACAAACCATAGGTGATAGTCTGACCTGAATGAAGTCTGCCTGGTACCGATTAAACATGATCGGTGTTATACCTTGCATGCTATTGCGGCATTGTTGACCAGAACATCTAATCCCCCGTAGGTGGACAGTAGGAAGGACTTCAGCCGCTCTATGCTTGACCGGTCGTTGATGTCCAGCTGACTGAACTTGGGCTTTAGGCCTTCCTTGTTTAGGTCAGCAATGGCGGCCTGGCCACGACCTTCATCCCGAGCTGAGGAGGAAGATGAAGTCAAACCATTTCAAATATTGTCAAAATCCTTGTTCAGACTGAAAAGGGAAACTGAAAATGTTGCGAAGACAGGATTAGAGCCCATTATCCTGGTGTATCAAGGGGAGGCAAGTGTGTAAATGTGGGAACATATTAGAGAAGAACCTTCTTTAGTCTAGGTAAACAAGTAGGAACTTACTACATATCATTATGACGGTGATTGAGGCAAGGCTTACTGGACTTTTCCTGAAATGTTATAGAAGGCTTACTGGAGGTAAAAAATGTCGTACAAGTGCAAGAGATAAGAGTGAAAATATAACAGATGCCTCTTTTAAGCACATCACCACAACATGTTCAATAAATTGTTATAAAATGCATAAATACCGATAAACTGGAAACAAGAGTAGCTCCAAAGCATATCTGGATCTACGATTTTATCATGTGAGAACAGGCTTTATTCTTTTTGTAAGGAATATCTTTTCATTTATCTGATCTATCTACGGAGCTGTCGATGAATAATAATTAAATTAAGACCATTCGGTTACATTTATTACAATTCACAATTCAGGGCAGGCCGGCACATCTACATTAACAATAATAAATAGTTACATGTGAGGAAGACGTCCCCGTCGTAGCTCTTACACAACGCCCTGACGACGGCGAACCCAATACCCTTGTTGGAGCCAGTAACCTGGAAGAGTGAGTGAGTGAGTGATTATGGTGTTACGCGGCTTTTAGCAATATTCCCGCAATAACACGGCGGGGGACACCAGAAATGGTCTTCATACAATGTGCCCACGCGGGGATTGAACCCGGGTCTTCAGCGTGACGAGTGAACGCCTTAACCACCAGGCTACCCCGCCGCCCCGTAACCTGGAAGAGAATCGTGAACCTAAGGTCCAAAACATATCGATACACATACTATATATAGAGAATACTACACGAGGTCTCATTACATACGAATTATACGAAACGAGTGTCCTTCCTATGGTATCTGACCGAGCGAAAGCGAGGTCAGATAACATAGGAAGTTCACGAGTTTCGTATAATTCGTATGTAATGAGACCGAGTGTGGTATTGTATTTATTACCCACGTCTTAAAAATAGCATATTTTTTTTATGTTTTTGGTTTCAAACTGAAACCGGTTTCATAAAGATGTTGCGGAAGAGTTTTGTACTGTAGTACAATATTTGCATGACGTCACACTGTAATGACGTCACTGCCTTGGTAACTGACGTCACGATGCATGTCAGTTGTCATCGCCTAGTACAGCCTCCTACAGTAAACTACTCCGTAGCACCTCGTTTCTTGGTTTCCAGTTGCTTCTTTCGGCTAACATCACTGGTGGAAACATTGCGTTTATGTTTTTCGACGTATATAATGTCTCAGTTCGACTCACAATTAAACAGCGTTACGACAGAATGTGACCTAATTGAGAGGTCATCGGTTATCCAATCAAATCGTTAGAATCTCAGGTCAAGTCGTTACGACACAGGTCAACGCGATACGACACTCGTGTGACGTACGAGATTAGTATGCAACTACCCATACGTTGACCTCGTGGGTAATAAATAGAGAATCTCACCCAAGTGTCTTCTGATATCAATTATATCAACACGAGTTGATAAAGTTACAAATATCCGAGGCTTGCCGAGGATATTTTTACTTTTATCAACGAGTGTTGATATATTTGATATCAGAAGACACGAGGGTGAGATTCTATTTATCATCCAAAATCACTCTTCATTATTTTTCAATGAAAAATGTACATCTCTGAACATGGTACTGCCATTAGACTTGCAGTGCAGCGATGTCATAGTATTGTGACGTCATCAAGTACATGACGTCATAGCATTGTCACGGCATTGTACAAAATCTACTGTCAAAACGATATCTCCTAGGAGATATCGTTTGATCTCACACAAGCGATATCTCCTGTGGAACACAGTTTTGGATGATAAACATTTTTACCTGGGTCTTATATAGTCAAGTCCAAGATAGTGTCAGTAACTTTTCTGTGTCTGTGTGTTTTTGTGTGTGCAACTTTGTGCGTATTATGTGAGTCTGTTTGTGTGTGTTTGTGTCTGTGTTTCCGTGTGTATCTGTGTGTATATAAGAAGCAATTTTGAATCCTGTATAATCCTGATAAATATATACGCCACTGCACATTCATATGTGGTTATTTACATCGTTTTCTTTATGAATTATACTATTATTCGGCAGTCTGATATTTTGAAAAGTCGTTTCAGCATAGGATGTAACTTTTACATTACCTTACCGAAAATCAAACTATTACTGCTAAAAGCAATACCCACGTGCGTCATTGATTATCGGTTATTAAGTGACGTCAGATAGTTTTGAAAGCTCCATGCAGCGTGTTATCTAAAAATAGATGGGAAGCGCCAAAGGTGAATTTACCGTGAAATATTAATAAATCTTCACCGCGTTCTTTTCTGCCAACGCTATCTGAACTTACCAGTGCTACCTTCCTGTGACTATCCATAGTCTATTCTGTACTGAAATGAGCTCTCTCCGTGAATATTATATACACCAGCAGACAGTCCCATCTATGTCATATCATATATACCAGCAGAAACTCCCATCTGTGTCACATCATATGCTCAGCGTGATTAAAAAGTGGGACTGTGACATACGAGCGCCTGTTGTGATGATTTTATATATCACCACAAACATTTTAGAGCCTTTAGCATTTAATTAAAATGTTGAACTACACGTGTGTATTCGTCAATGCTGTATATAATAATTGAAAATACTTAATTGATAACGTTCTGTTTGAAATCTCCCACCACGTACACGTATGTTCTTGGAGATCTTGAAATATTTAATGTCACAGAATGTTTCTCAAACGCGTTTGGTTCATAAACAAATATGAACAAATGACCAGTCTTCCCATATGAGAGCGAAGCGAGCTCTTTTCGGTCGCTTATGAGAAGACTGGTCATTTTCTCTTTGTTGCGCAACCCTATTTGCGCTACAATTTGCCTGTGCCTATAAGCTGTGGAATGATGTACTCCAGGGAAATTTACATGTTCCATCCAGCTATAGGTAGGTTGTAGTTTGTGCCAAAATTAAAATCAAACTGCAAAACAGCTATTATTTGAGTTCAGATTCCATGTTGGACCTTAGCTTTGCACCACTGGAAAGTCCAGGACCATGTAGCAGCATGAATGGCAGAAAGACCGGCAATATATCAAAACTTTCAGTGTTGCCAGTGTAACAGCAGTTGGCCTGTTGATTACCGTGACCAGCAGAAGGGCGTCGTGCTGGTCAGCTGTCTGTAACTTAAGTAACACATGGGTCAGTTGGGCACTTGGGCATGATATTGTGGATCAGGTAAGGAATGCTGCTGGCTGAAGATACACCTGTCGCACATGCGACACTCAGGCTCACTAGGATTTGACCCCTAGTGGGGCAATCAGGTTGATGATATGCTGTACCACCTGGGACCATATAATACTTCATTATTAGGTCCCTGGTACTATGTGGTTAAAGGGCGGTGGGGTAGCCTAGTGGTTAAAGCGTTCGCTGGTCACGCCGAAGACCCGGATTCGATTTCCCACATGGGTACAATGTGTGAGGGCCATTTCTGGTGTCCCCCCGCCGTGATGTTGCTGGAATGTTGCTAAATGCGGCGCAAAAATTCACTCACTCACTACCATCTGGTTGTATATTTAGATCGCGAATAAAAGGTTGTGAGCCCCTTAGTTTGAAGAAACAAATATGCAGGAACCAGAACAGTCAATCAACTGAGATCGACCGTTGGCACAAAATGCTCCCCACACCAAAACACTGCCCCCTCCAAATAAGTCAACCTGTGAACACAACACTGCATGACGTTCCCATCTCCTGTGACATCTGTTGCCTGCTATCTAGTCCTAGGCCAAATGTTAGAAAGTCCCTATCTTTTAGGATCTCTCAGCAGCAGTAAAAGCGTTATCCAGTAATTGGTATGACAACTCCCACCCTCCAGAGATTCTTGTCAATGTGGAACTAGACACAGAATGTATCAGGTTGCTGAAAACAAACAAGGTTTACCCCGCTGTTGAAACAGTGTCCACATGTTCATAGACCAACTGCATGAGTATTAACCGCATGGTTTAATGGACGGTGACAAGCACTGGTGTTCAACATGATCAGGATATGCAGTATGGGTGATAAGGCCTGGTGTATAATATTACCTGATAATGATGTTATCTCTACATTTGGCCTAGGAGTGTATCGACAAAGTGCAATGTGAAGCGTGACTCTCTGCATGGTTGAATCTGGCATGTCTGCGGACGAGGATATTTCGTCAGGATATTGGTTCCAGCCGTATGGTCAGGAACCAGGCTGATGGTCGCCAAGCTCGGACATCTTCTGTGCCCAACCAATTCCTGGTGGTCTTTTCGGACACTTTACCTTTGAACAATTGTCGTCTGGTGGAACTGGCAGTCACAGATCTGTTGCGGAAATGACGTAGCATGATTTAAATTGTGACGTCACACGCAGCGTCTGATGCCTTGGACAACCTGCAACGGGTCCCCAGACGTAAGGTGGTTCTAAATTTAAGTTTACAAAATTATGATCGTTTAATTAATTGTTTAATGTGACAGCTTCAGATATCCAGATGTGTCACAATATTGGCATCGCCCTGATACTACCGAACCGGGAGGGCTTTAGGTTTACTGTTCTGGGTAATACTCACATATACCTATCGACGTATACTCAACTATGAAAAGCATTTTCAGTGTTAGATCTCTCTCTATAGCCCGGTGTGAATATGTATAATCAGTGTGGAGTGTCATTTTCTATGTTACCCGCTGGAAATGCCGAACTGTGGGAATTCGTTTGGTACTTCGTGTCAGAAAATGGGATTGAACTGTTGCCTAACTCCGGTACTCCATATTATGATCCAATACTCGTGCTTCTAACAGTTCAAAATTAATATTGAGGTGTTTGGTGAGATAAATACTCAGGGCACATAAACAAACATAGAGGGTTCATCAACCCATATCCCCCTCGTGACCAGTGAACAACTTATATTATCATCAGTGTGGAGTGTCTTGTAGTGACAGTCTTGTAATGATGGACACAAAAGACACTGACGACATTTTTCATCATTTTATAACTGGGCTAGGCAATCGGTATACACTCACCGATATATGTGGTTACACAATGTTTCTAGAGACTATTAATTGCAGCTCAGGGCCTAGATTTTCAAAGCTCTCTTAGCGCTAAGATAGTCGTAAGTTAATGTTAATGTATGGCACTTACTTGGGCCGGGACGGGTCCAAATTTTCTACCCGGGTGCCCCACCCCCTATTACCCTACCCTACCCGGATACCCGTAATGATAATTCCTGACATCAAATTAGCAATATATTCTCCAGCTCGGAGACTAAAATTTCGAGTTTTTCAATTATGTTTAAACCATGTATTATATTCAAAAGGAGTGACTGTACATTATGTCTAAATTTACTTTGTCTAAAACAATACAATCTTTAAATCATGAAAGAATAACGTATTACATTGTTTAACCTATTGGTCACATGATCATAACGGGTCCGGGTATTGAGACGGGTACCCGGGTCCAACTCATTACCCAGGGGCGTGTCACGCTTTAGAAACAGCGTTAGCAAAGACTATGTAGCGACAAAGAGAGCCCTACCCTAGTACTTCCAGGTTATTTATATGTAATAGTAGTATTCTGCCAGGGATTAAGGTGACAGTGTCGTACAGGTATTTTCTAAAAGACTATGCATTCAGGTTAAGTCTAATGTGTATTATCCTGTATTTCACGTACCTCTATCGAGACTTCATGAATATAAGGCCTTACTATAGGGAGACTGAGATTGACTGGTATGAAGGCATGTACCCTATAGCTACTGTCTGCTGTGTGGAAGAGTCAGTGAGTGAGTTTAGTTTTACGCCACACTCAGCAATATTTCAGTTATTTGGGGTCGGTCTGTAAATAATCGAGTCTGAACCAGACAATCCAGTGATCAACACCATGAGCATCGAGCTGTGTGGAAGACGGTACAGGAGTCCTTTAAGCTTTTTTGACCTTGATGATGATTTTTATGGAGAAGCATGTTCAGTGTCTCACACACACACACACACAGAGAGACACACACACACACAGAGATAACAGAGCCATAATAATGAATGGTCCCTTACAGCCCTTGGTGGAGAGAAGGCATCTTGATAGGTCTAAATTGCTTTTCATTACCTGTTACCCAGAGTATGTAATCATGTACAGTGACATACAGGTTTATCTACAGCTAATTCCTTTGTCACATTGTCACAGTAAATCTTCTGTCATTCATGACTAAACATCACTTTATGTTGGGTGAATATAGATCTTCTGTCTGGTCCAAGTCACCCTTACCTATAATATGGATGGTTTATTGTTTAACACTGCACTCAGCATTATTCCTGCTATTTGGGGTTGGTCTGTAAATAATCAAGTCTGGACCAGACAAACCAGTGATCAACAACATGAGCATCGATCTACGCAACAGGGACATGATGACATGTGTCAACCAAGTCAGCGAGCTTGACCCCCGATCCCGTTAGTAGCCTCTTACGACAAGCATGGGTTACAGAAGATTCATTCTAACCCTGACCTTCACGGGTCGTCTGCCATTACTGGCATTACTGGTACTCCAACATTACTCCAACACTGGTATGCATTCAAGACTTTATTAGCAATAGCTGTTCAACACAAATCCAAACAAATTTATCAAATTTCCTTCATGTAAAAACCGGTATCAATAGCAAAACATACAAAAGTATTGTATAGAACAAATAGAACAACTGAAAACAATATTGACAAGGAATCAACTGACAAACAGAATGAACCAGAAAAATACCTTGTCATGAAAGTTGAATTCAATATGAAGCCTTAATATATTTTCAATATACCATGTAATGTTTGACTAACAAATTGTTTTTCAAATAGAAAAACCAAGTATGATTATTTTTCCCCAAATATTTTCTGTGACAAATATATTTCTCATTAAAATAACCTCTCTGAAAACTAAATGGCTGGTCTGTTATGTCCTTGGCCTCATGGGTTTATGTTTTCTGAGGGAGTGAGAGTATAGTTTTATGCTGCTTTTAGCAATATTCCAGCAATATCACAGGGGGGACACCAGAAATGGGATTCACACGTTGAACTCATGTGGGGAATCGAACCCGGGCCTTCTGCATGATGAGCGAATGCTTTAACCACTAGGCTACCTCACCACCTCCTAGGTTTTCTGAACCAACTTGACTCATTATGTAAATTATATATGGCAAGCTAGGCAAGTTGGACCAATAACATTTCACTATAAATATAAACACTCTCATAATACAGCCGGACTGAAGTGTCAAGATTTTTATCAAACAATAGAGATGTTCTACCCAATAAACATCCTCACAAGTAACAGTTCATTGACTGACAACAGTTACTGATTTGATTACCCATAATTGAATGTCCATACATGGAAATTCAATGAATATGCTTTCGATATTTCGATATTAATGTTATAAAATGAGGTATGAGTATTCCTTCATAAACCTTACAAATACAAACATCAATAACATGGATCTACACAGGCATTTCGAATTGGTGGTCATCTCAAGTTTTTTATATTTTTTGTAAATCTTTATCCTCGCAAAGACACAAGGGCCTGTGGAAGTAACAGGTACCAGTAACTGGAAATTTGTTTATCTGGACAAGATTTGAAACGGCCTATGTCTGAATAATCGCGGGTCAACTGAAAATGCAATCATCATCACTGTGCAACATAAAGGATGTTCATTCCACATCATTTAAGCAATAAGTACAATGTACTTTTTAAAAAAAGATAAAAACATGTATAGTTCCATGAGCACAAAACTACTATAGTTGCTAACTTGATAGCTTGGAAAACAAATGACCAATGATCGACTCGACAATGCCAATCACTTCAAAGTACACAAATACTCTGCCATCCAGGGCAAGATGTGGCAACCAAGGCAAAAGGCAGCAATCATGGCAAAGGTCAGACGGCAACAAAATGGAAGAAATAGGGAGAAGGCAACTGCTTCTGATGACATGGCCAGTAAACGGCAGATTGGAACATGATAAACCAGATGTCATGAAACTTGTGGAACAAGGATAGAAAAAAAACAGCAAGTGAATAATAATAATGATAATAATAATTTTTGTACCAAAAAAACATAAGCAAAACAACCTGTGAGCAAACCTGGCCATTTACAGGTTTTATTCCATTTTCGCCCTTGCCTTGAAAGGTTGTTTGGCCAGTGTAAATGCATGAATTTCGCCAAAAGATTTTGTTTAATGAATCACTTGAGTGAAGACAGAATTCCGTCAGCTGTAATTGGGATTCCCCCACATTTCCTGAAGGTTAAACAAGTCCACTTCGAGGGTCATGGCTGAACTTTTTACATTCACTGGAAAATGACTGCAATCACGTGACCCCATTACAGTCTTCATCAGCCATCAGCATTAGCATGTCATGACAAGTTGAATATAGTGCACCTTGTAATGTTATGTTAACTCTATATACGGGCAGATAATCAAATATATATATATGTATATATATATAAACTGCAGGGCAAATTCAAGTATACACCCATGTTTCATGGCGGTGAAAGCCGAAGGAAACACAAGAGACCATAATTGCAGTGTTAAGACTGCAGAAGTCAGACAACTGTTTTCAGGCTATTAATGTAGCAGTTGTTTGTCATTTTGTTCTGATCCAGTTTTTAAATGTATACTATTTTGTCCGATAGTTCAGTTGGCTACATTTTGTGAGAAGGCTACTACTTGGAGGCTTGTCACCCTGCCTATGTGAAGCTAAGTTTATATACTGGAACTCTTCATAGACCAGAACAATCCATATACTGCAATTTTGCAGATATTGGATCCTACATATATTGGAAGTTTGCATATATAGCACAAGGCATCCACATATACTGGTTCTAGGAACAGATCATTCCCACTGCTTGATGGTTCTGTCTGAGACGAAGTTGCCTTTAGGGGATGTGGTGTTTGGAGGAAGGAGAGCCAGATACACTGGGGTGTCTGCACCTGGTACAAATAGCAAATGGCAAATGGTTCACATCTACGCCACTTGTGAAATTATGACATTTTTCTTGTCATTTGATGACAAAGAGTGAGTGAGTGAGTTTAGTTTTACGCCGCTTTTAGCAATATTCCAGCAATATCACAGCAGGGCACACCAGAAATGGGCTTCACACATTGTACCCATGTGAGGAATCGAACCCAGGTCTTCATAGTGACTAGTGAACGCTTTAACCACTAGGCTACCCCACTGCCCCTGATGACAAAGAAGGAAATGTAGAGAAAAAAGCCAAAGACACAACTGCATCACTGCCTATCTCTAATTGTCTTGTACTTGGTGTTTCTGAGTTATCCCTGAAAAAACTGCTCACCTTGATCGATGGTCTTCGGCCCTTTGTGACTCGACATGTCTGTGTCCACGTAGCCCGGGCAGCACTGACAAAACAACATGTGACCAACCAAAATCTGGATATGTTTGTTCTCCATAGGACCACCAAAATTGGCATAAGAGTGAATTACAAGTCTGCTATGGCTGATGACTTACAAAGGTTGCAAGTTCTATTTCTTTCAGTGTATTGTATCCAGTGGCCTTCATCAATTGGTAGTTTATGATATGTAATTCCAAATTTAAGTAAGGAATAAGAGATAGATTTTGGTAGATAAAGGTGCTTTTCAAATTTAGGTAATTTCTTGTAATATTTATAGTAAAAGCCTTTGATCTGTTAGTAAATGAACTGTTCCATGGTATAATAATACAATATGAGCAAGATGGCAGTACAAACAAGATAGAGAAAGGCTATGGCACTCTTGTTGCTATAATATTTATACAAGTTCTTTTCTTTTACTGGAAGAAAAGAGTAATTTGAAAGAGTGGAGGCTGGCATTTTTGGTATATTTAATTAGTATGAGATTTTTGCTTTGACTTTCAAGCGATGTAGAACGAAAAATGTTATGAAAATCGTCTGCTATGGCTGATGAATTACAAAGGTTGCAAGTTCTAATTTCTTTCGGTGTATTGGTCCAGTGGCCTTCATCAATTGGTAGTTTATGATATGTAGTTCCGAATTTAAGTAAGGGTACTTTTCAAATTTAGGTAATTTCTTGTAATATTTATAGTAAAAGCCTTTTGATCTGTTAGTAAATGAACTGTTCCATGATTGATAAAATTGGTCACGGGGAGACGTGTCGATCATACTAACCAACCACTGTCTGTCAAAAAAGCTTGGCATCAGTAATACATATGAAAGACGACTTGTTTAATATTGATTCAATATGGCTAACCCAAGGTGATTGATAGTTAGAAGATACATCTGATGTGATAACAGTTAACAAGTCACATGATAGTGTATCCATTCCTGACAATTGTTTATGCCAGTAGTTTATCATTCGTTTAGTTCTCGGAATTGTTAATGGTACTGTGCCTAGCCCGCAATACACCATAAAGTAAGGTGTAGACATACTAACTTAAAAAATTTCAGGTGTACATTTTCAAAATGCTTTTTCTGGTTTCACTTCCTAATCCAGTCTTACATGACTAAAGGACAGGATAACTGAAAACTACACCGCTCAGATTGCTTATTTCTTGGCTTAATTTGTGTTCTCGAATTGCAGATCTGTCTGTGATCAAGAGGAAAAGCAGTTTGATTATAATGGATCACCTATCAAAACAATAAGCAAGGCACTCACCGCATTTATGACGATGTCCTCTCTCGAGTCCTTCCTGATGTCTCTGTCCTGGATGAAGGACATCACCGTGACCGCGACCTTGGACATCCCGTAGGCGCTGTTGGGGAAGCCTAGGTCCTGGTGCTTACCTGCCTTGGCAGCACTGGAAATATAGATCAAAACTGACAGTACAATCACAAAAGATACAATAATGCTGTGAAAGTTGTGAATGAAGTTCACCTGATATCAGCAGAGAGCAGTACTGGCACCGATACCAGTCTAAGCAAACTTAACCTCAGTATTATTCGTTACACTGCTATACTGAGTCTTACAAACCCTTGTAGAAGGTCGCATCAGCTAACCTTTGAGCAACCCATGACCATCCAATCAAACGCGAGATGGCCAGGCGGATTTGACCAATCAGACAACGGCTACTGTTTAGGGTTCGGTGGGACTTACAATATTCCCCGCTCACTGACACTGACTGCTCAACAAACGAAAATCTGCATAAAACACAGATATTTGACCTGCAGTAGATATGCTTAGGGCTTCCTGATGACATGGTTACCATTAGCTAATACTTCTGTAAGCTGACATCCTTGAATATTGACAAACACACTATTTTTCTCACTGTTGTGGGGTAATCCATGTGCATCTCTTGGAAGCGATTGTACGGAAAATAAAATTCGGCATCATTTTGGAACAAACTTTTTTTAGGTAAAAGTTCAAAATGTATGTGCGAACGTCAACTTTCGCGATTTGGTAAGCTGTGTTCTGATTGGTCAATTGAAAAGTTTAGCTGATGCGACCTTCTCCTAGGTTTTTTAGACTCAGTATAAACGGTGAAATAAATAATACTGAGCCAAGTTTACTTAGACTGGCACTGATAGAGTACTAAAAGAGTACTAAAAGAGTACTGACTGAGTACTGACAGAGTCTTAACCTGACTATAAAGGATACTGAGTATACCCATAACAGTCTGTCTGTATGTTGATTGGTTGAAGACAGTGGGGATGTGAGTGGGTTTAGTTTTACGCTGCTTTAAGCAATATTCCAGCAATATCAGACACTAGAAATTGGCTCATCTCTGTTTAATCTGTTTGAGTGGCATTTTAGAAGTTGATGAAAAATAAGAAAAGTATAATACTTTATGGATAACAATTTCTTTATTTATAATGATGCAACATTTCGGAATAGCTTCTTACACCGTTGTCAATCTAGCTTGGCAACGGTATAAGAACCTGTACCGAAACATCGCATCATAACAAATAAAGAAGTTGTTTTCCATAAAGTATTATACTTTTCCTATCATCTCTATTTGTTGGGTTGGAATTTTATACTAGGTGTACAATTGCCCTGCCAGTTGTGGAATAGATCATCTTGATTACATTTTCCAGAAGGAAGCAATAACCTAGGTATATTTCACTTCACCTCATATTTTCTCAAACTTACTCAACAAACTCCTGCATGATCTTCTCAAGACCGTCCATTGTCAGACTGGGGTCCTTGAAGCGACCTTGAACGGCTGGAGAACATTTCTGGATCGTCATTTGAGATACAAAGCTGGAGACGTTCACAACCCTGTCAAACAAAAACTAAATCAGGTTGTACTGCTGTTTTCTTCCTGATGAAATGGGGGCAGGACCAAAGGCTGTGCTGGAATAGGGTCCTCCTGTCCTGAATGTGTGGACCTCTAAATCTACAGCAAATGACATTAGGGTTATGCTAAGGCTACCTTTAAAACACTGACCTGCAATAATTTGATCAGTGGAACCTGCAGGTTTCATGAGTCATTGGTAACCATGGAAACAATAAGCAATACATAAACATCTGTATTGCTGAGTCTCACCTGGCATGAGGTCGGAGCAGAGGGAAGAGAATACGGCAGACATCGAGGGTGGCCGAGACGTTGGTTTTACATGTAACTTCAGCTTGCTCCGGGAAAGGTGCTGGATCTGCTTGCTAAAATATCAAAGAGTGAGTGAGTGAGTTTAGTTTTACACCGCACTTAGTAATATTCAAGCTATATGGCAGTGGTATGTAAATAATCTTGTCTGGATCAGACAATCCGGTGATCAACAACAACACAATTTTCTACCTGGTACACTATTCCACCATCACAATGACACAATGTTCTACCCTGTACACTATTCCAGTATCACAATAACTCAATGGTCTTCCTTCTACACTATTCTAGCATCAAAATAACACAATGTTGTTCCTTGTACACTATTCCAGTATGACAATAACTCAATGTTCTTCCTTCTACACTATTCTAGCATCACAATAACACAATGTTCTACCTGGTTACCTATTCCAGCATCACAATAACACAATGTACTTCCTTGTACACTATTCCAGCACCACAATAACACAATGTTCTACCTGGTACACTATACCAGCACCACAATAACACAATGTTCTACCTGGTACACTATACCAGCACCACAATAACACAATGTTCTACCTGGTACACTATACCAGCATCACAATAACACAACAGGGATTGGGATAGAGAGCTTTGACAATGAGCCATTTTCTGAATTTAAAATGGGCCAATGCCATTGCATCAACAATAAACTCAAATGTTCAAAATGGCCCATGGCACTACCCAGCATCATCCCTAACACAATGTTCTTCCTTGTACACTATTCCAGCATCACAATAACAAGATGTTATACATTGTACACTATTCCAGCATCACAATAACACAATGTTCTACCTTGTACACTATTCTACAGCATCACAATAACACAATATTCTTCCTTAGAATCTTAATACACTAGACAAAGTTCCAGCATCAACAATAACACAGCCAGTTCTATGTAGTGTTTGTTTACAAGTCCTCCTCTTGTAAAACAAGTTGAATTTGTCACTAAAGGCGTCAAATTTGCAATTAAACATCGCTAGACAAGATTATTTACCTACATTGTATTCAGACTAATTTGGTTTTGCAAGGCATTGTCTTATATGCAGGGATTAATGACCGTGTGTAATTGTCTCCTATACAGTGCCAGAAATAGCAATCAGCTGTGCAGTGCACATGTTCCCCTACCAGTGATTTAGATAAAACATACCCGATAATATACTGAGATGAATTCTGATGCAGTGATCTTAAAACTGTAGTATCTGAAAGTGTTGTTTTATAAAGAGAAATATATTCTAGCATTGTGTTATTTTAATTGCAGGTTGTAAAATATTTATAATTATAACTAAGGTTATGGAATGACGGCTTTATGGTGTATTGCCAGATAGTTTTATGCATGGAACAATTTAACCTGTTCGGCACATTTGAATAAAAAATGGCCCATTAAAATTGTAAAGTTTACTATTGATACAAGGGCATTGGCCCATTCTAAATTCAGAAAATGGCTAATAATCCTGAAAATGGCCCATTGTATGCGTATGCGTATCCATATACTGTCAACTACACTTCATTTCGAGATGTGAGTCGACTGGGAATTTAACAAAATGAGAGATGTCATTGCGCCTGGAAAGTTTTGCACCTGGAGTTCATTCGCAATGCTAGCAAAACTTTCCTGCCCGCAAAACTTTGTCGATTTACAGCAGATGTTATACTGTGTACACCTTTTAAGCATAAGAGAAACTAGATGTTATGCCCTGTACACTATTCCATCATTATAATAACAAGATGTTTTACCTTGTATGCAATTCCAGCATTGTTGACCAAAACATCCAGTCCCCCGTAGGTGGACAGTAGGAAGGACTTCAGCTGCTCTATGCTTGACCGGTCATTGATGTCCAGCTGATGGAACTTGGGCTGTAGGCCTTCCTTGTTTAGATCAGCAATGGCTGTCTGGCCTCGACCTTCATCCCGAGCTGTGAGTAGGGCAAGAAAAAGGAATTTACACACGTGGTAAATTTGAAAACCTGACTGACTGACTGAGTATGGTTTTACCGCGCCGCTTTTAGCAATATTCCAGCAACATCACGGCAGGGGACAAGAAATGGGCTTCACACATTTACATTGAGTCTAACCAACACTTTAACCATTAACCCCACCCTCCCTGAAAACCTGACCATTAGGTACATACAGAAGTAAGTACTGTGCTTGATACTAGTGCTGGTATTGGCATACAACCGGCGATCACGATACACATCGCGATACTAAAATTTTAGTCACAATGATATATTACCAAAGTATTGTGCACTGAAGCTGTGATATGATCACTTAATCCGATATAAGGGTGGTGATACATAACACGATCCACAGTACTAAAATCTTTAATTCTAGCAACAACTATAAAACACCTCAAGATCAAAACAAAACCATTTTAAAGTATTTCGTACAAATTGTGAATGTTAATAACAGCGTTGTTCAATGTTCATCCGAAATGAAGGGAGATAATTAAGTTTATACAAACGGACTTTGTGAATATTAATAACATGCGAGAGCTATGTCTAAAACACAGTTCTTGGACGGAAGAATTTCTAGTTGATACACCACTTTGAAAGTACCGTTCTACTAATGAAGGGAAAATAAGTAAGCATATACTTTAATCATCAAACAAAAGTAAGTATTTCTTGACAGATATCGCAAATAACATTCGCAATATTCAAAGTTAAACATCAGGGATATATCAGAGGCTGATTTTGGCCCATTTAAAGTAAACATTACCAACTTGAATTCGGGATATCACGGCAATGTAAAACTTTACACTGGTGATTATCGATTTCACTGCATAATCGCTAACGTTGCAGGTTAAACTCTATGAGTGAGTTTAGTTTTACGCCACACTCAGCAATATTCCAGCTATATGGTGGCGGTCTGTAAATAATCGAGTCTGGACCAGACAATCCAGTGATCAACAGAATGATCATCGATCTGCGTAACTGGGAACCGATGACATGTGTCAACCAAGCCAGCGAGCCTGACCACCCGATCCCGTTAGTTGCCTCTTACGACAAGCATGGGTTACTGAAGGCTCATTCTAACCCGGACTTTCACGGGTCTCACTCTATGAAATGCAACAGGCTTTGAGGAACCCTTTCTCATGGAGGGGTGGTGGGATAGCCTAGTCGTTAAAGATTTTGCTCGTCATGCAGAAGGATTTTTAAAAAGTTTTGTAACGCACTGTGGGTGAAAGTCTGAGTGTAAATAAAGGAATTCAATGACATGGTGTCCCTCATTATATTTGACCACTCACATGTAAGGAAGACGTCCCCGTCATAGCTTTTACACAACGCTCTGACGATGCCAAATCCAATACCCTTGTTGGAGCCAGTCACCTTGAACAGAATGTACATATTATTTGTTTCATATTCTATGACACTGAACCATGCTATTTATAATAGCCAGAACAGTCCTCTCAATGCTGTTTATAAGACAAAATAATGTTTTTAAGAAACAGAATTGTTATAAAGTCAGATTACTTCATACAGTGAGTGAGTGATTATTCCTTAACGTCGAATCAGCAACTTAATACAGATATCTTGTGCATAGTGCATTACTGGTAAATACCATAATCTGCATTCAATATATGAGAGTGAGGGCTATTATCCTGCCTGGCTTGGATATATTCCAATTTGCACAACTTGGTTTGATAAATAACATCCTTAACATATAGTACACGTATATTCCATAGTCACAGTAGAAAATGTTGTGTTTTATGCTTTTATCATTCATGCACTGTATTTACAAGATCTTCAGAATTCGTTTCAGCTACCATTCACCTTTTACCTAACCCGACCCTTATCTTAAACTGTTATTTCATATTTGTTACGCTGTTATATTGGCCGCTACCATAAGTATAGACAGAAGCCCAGTTCGTAGCAAACTAATCTCCAAGCAGCGTGACAATATTCTGTGGACGCCGGACGCGATGAGGAGGAGTTTGCTTTTGAGAGATGCTGGCTAGGTTTCAAATTCACTATTGATAATATAATTGATCTGTACTTACTACTGCAACCTTTCTGCTACTTGCCATAGTTGGAGCTTCGTTACTTGACACGCAAAGTTTTAGACACGATTGCACGGATATGCACTGTGACTGTCCACATCTAAATTACTGTGTTTTGTGACGGAAGGATTGAAAAGTGGGATTGCGGGATCCTGGTTTACGTAACTCATCTTGACTTGAAACCGGTTATGTAGGCTATCACTCATCTTTCAAGTACATCGAATAGGATATAAATATTTTACCTAAAGTGACGTTAGTGAGGAAAAAAAGTAGCAACTTACTAGTGGGTGTTTATCGCCATGTTATGTCTTTAAAATTGATATAGATCTTTACCATCCGCTACGACTTTCCAGATGATAAAACCCATTGAACAGTGAGACAAAAACGAGTTATAAATATAATTTGACGTCTCATCGGCGTTTTCGTTTTCAGCCTTATTGTGACATATCGAGACATTACAGTGCGGATGGTAAAAACAGTTAATGGTTGTGGGATATAGTATCAAAATTGTTCCATACGTGTTAATAAAAATTAAATGATTACACATGTAAAATGTAGACTAACATATGTCTCAGAAATTAACATATTTTACAGAAAAATACTGTTCATAAAAAATAATAATAATAAAATATAATGAAAAGGAGCCCAGAGACTTTCGTCATTTGCAGAAACTCTGTAAATCTAGACTTGCCACATATTCTAGACTTGTATGGGCTTTCCTCGATATATTTGTTTCAGGGTCTGTGTGACAAACTATTGTAAATGCCACATAAGTAGTTAAAGCCATGCACGCCTGCTTCCAGGAAACATAAAACACGACTCATTAGTTACCAAACCCCATTTTATTACCAACATTAAGTATTGAACCAAAGGAAAGGGGACACATAAAGAGACGTACATTCTGTACTTTCGTAACATATTTCCACTATACTGACTGAGGAGTTCTACTGACACGCCGGTAATGCCATGTGTCATGAAACATGGCGGTTAGGAGACCAGGTGAAAATCCACGCAGGTCTCCACATATGTTACACACGTGAGGACATTTTGAATGTCCCCTGCGTGATACTGCTGGGCAATTGCTTAAAACGGCGTAAAATCCAACTCCCTAAATCTTGCTCGCTTTCTTACGACTATAAAGTTTGGTTGAGTTTGGTTTGTTGTTTTACGCCGCACTCAGCAATATTCCAGCTATATGGCGGCGGTCTATAAATAATTGGGTCTGGACCAGACAATCCAGTGATCAACAGCATGAGCTTCAATCTACGCAATTGGGATGACGCCAAGTCAGCGATGACCTGATCCTGTTAGTCTCCTCTTAACAAATCGGTTACTGAAGATCAAGCGCGGACCACCTGACTGTAAAGAGCAAGTAACATTCCATGAATACACAAATATAACATTCCAGTTTAATCTGTGTGTTCCATTTTCACCAATGGTATACATGTATATTTTAATGCTGATCGTAAGGGGCCAGTTTGTGGATCGGGTGGTCCAGCTTTGTAACTGAATTTGCTTGTCATACGCCGCCGGTGGAGGATAGTATTTATATTATAACGATAAATCCATTTATCAGTCCCACAAGGCATGCTCGAAGCGCCCAGCAATAAACTGATTATCATTATCGCGGATAACCCAAGCTGCCTCTGAAACGCTAGAAGGTTAATTGTTACATGACTTATCCCACCGGGTACCCATTTTCTGCTGGGTGAACAGTGGCAAGTTTGAACAAACTCACTTGCCTAAGGTGAGACAACATGTATCACATGCGCTTCATTGTGGGGCAGGACTAGAAACTCTCAGTAGTCCAGCTACCAAACTCGGTCACCCATCCGACCACTCTCCGCGCCCAACGTTGCTTAACTTCAACAACTGATTTTTGACCCCAGCTCTATGCAGTGGTTGATATCTGGGTTCCTATCCACAAAGCGTTCGTAATGTTTATCAGGCCCTATCGTAACTATATGGTTATCATAGGTCTACACGCCTTGTATCTCTACACTATTATATAACACACCGCCCCCATGTAGATAGTATACTGCCATGTACGACCCTAAACAAGAAACAAACAATTCTAAACCGTCCGCTCTTACACTGTACGAGGTCTCGAACGACAGCCAACTTGACTGTTTTGGAGATATTCACTCAGTGGTGAGGCTTGTGCAGATTAATATCCCCGTGCATGCCACGTCCAGTCTATGAGGTTAGACTTAAATAAAATATCTGTTTGTCTGTCTGGTCAATCTTGCACCTGAGTGAACTGTTTATATACACGCTGACTTTTTCGTCCAGGCAATCACCACCACTTGACCACTGTCCGCTTTGCCAGGAACTGACCCCTAGGGCTGGCAGCGTTAGGTGGTAGAAGCGACAGGTACACGGGAGTGTCCGCCCCTGAAAAAAACACTACATGTATCACAGAAATATGCTTCCTTGCGAATCTGAATTGATGAGTGAGTGAGTTTACTTTTTCACCTCATTCAACAATATTCCAGCTATATGTGGCGGCTGTCTGTAAATAAACAAGTCTGGACCAGACAATCCAGTGATAAACAGCATGAGCATCGATCTACGCAACTGGGATATTGATGAGTAACACATCGCATTAATTTCTTTTATTAACAAACGCAAACACGCAGGCACATTTTTACTGCCAACTGACCTTGATCCTCCGTGAGGCTACCTTCATATCGTGACATATCAGTTCTCACGTGACCCGGGCAACACTGAAATGACATAGTGCGTGGGTGAGATTTAGCACTGTATGACTTTCATATTTATTTGATATTGACTAATAATTGGCTTCGTGCATTATAACCGCATCGACAATCAAACCCATGTCAACGTCCTTACTGAGCAAACGTATAACCACCCGGCTACCCACCGCTTCTTTAATGACACAATAAACCTTTAAAGGCACAATGTCACACATTTTCGACAATATTTTGGCCTATATTTTATATATTGGAAGCATATGCACTCACTTTAGCTTCCTATTGATGCAATAAAAGACTTATTATCCCTTACGACTTGCCTGAAATCGATAATTGAAACTTCGAGGCGAACAGCATCCAAACACACTAGCCGGAATATAAACAATTGCTCCGTACATCGAAAACTGTCGCACGCGGTGTTGTCGGCGTTATAGGATATTCGTAAAGAACGTTCCAAGGGACATAACTCTGTGGGGCTCGCTTGAAATAACGAGAGTCAATTTAACGCAACGTTGCATTAATTCATTCGAACATTTTAATTTAATATTGTAATCTAAATACGTAATTATTTTTGGAATACATTATATGGTATACCATATTTAGTATTATTGAGAGAAATGCATTATGTATTTTTAGAGAAATGCGGTGTGACATTGTGCCTTTAACAACGAACTCAATATCTACCCCAGCAAAATACGTGGGTTCAACACTGGATGAAAGTACTCTCGCCAATATATTGTCAATTTGTTTCTGTTACAGCTATGATTTTACATCAACTAAACATATTACAACGACGATGTAAATTACAATACAATTACTAAATACAATACCGCATTGATGACAATATCCCCTCTCGAGTCGTCAACGGCTTCCCTGCTCAGAATGGCAGCCATAAGACAAGCGCCAACTTTTGACACTGCATACTCGTCTGTCGGCCAGCCCCTCCTGAAGTGTATCCCCATCTCACCGTCCCTGCAAATACAACCCAGGGATAGTGAAGTGTGCTCACTATAGGAAAGGACATACAACCACAGGGATGCAGGATAATAACATCACGTCGCTCACTCCTTTATAACCCGTGAAGATCCGGGTTAGAATTGATCTTCAGTAACCCATGCTTGTTGTAAGAGGCGACTAACGGGATCGGATGGTCAGGGTCGCTGACTTGGTTGACACATGTCATCGTATCTCAGTTCTGTAGATCGATGCTCATGCTGTTCATCACTGGATTGTCTGGTCCAGACTCGATTATTTACAGACCGCCGCCATATAGCTGGAATGTTGTTGAGAGAGCGGCGTAAAACTAATCTCAGTCACTCACGTGCTGTTTGGTTGCCGCGAATTAAGACGTTCAGGGGCCTTAACGTATGGATGCAAAAGGAATGAAGAAGAAAGAAAACTTACCATAACATGTCTAATTTGGATACGAAACTAACTATCTTTTTAAATGTAAACTCGATCGGAGTGGGGTATACCACATATATACCCACAGAGTGTGTGAGAGATATACCTGTACTTTCTGCGGTGCATCGGTCGATATTCCTACGTTTGTTAGCGTGGGGTCAGCAATATCAGGGTGTCCGTGTAGAGATATCGACCTCGGGAAGTGTGGGTATACCTGTGTTGAGCCGAGCCACTCAGTCTATTAGGTTGGTTGTTGTTACACGTCGCACTCAGCAATGTTCCAGCTATATGGCGGCGGTCTGTAAATAATCGAGTCTGGATCAGACAGTCCAGCATGAACATTCATCTACAATTGGGACATGTGTTAACTAAGACAGCGAGCTTGACCATCCGATCCAATTAGTCGCCTCTTGCGGCAAGCATTAGACTAACGCTCAGTCTCTGAATATACTCAGCAGCAAAAAAAACCGTCAGTACGAATTCAAAATTAGATAGGCACTGTAATCAAATCATAACAGAAATGGACATAATAAGCGGATTTAAAACATTTTTTGTGTACAATATCTTGTCACATCAATGAATAACACAATTTCAAGACATTACGTGAACGTTTGCAGTCCATTCAGACTCTTGACTCCAGTATCTAGTGTGACCACCACGAGCGGCAATAACTGCAGCACAGCGTCTATGCATGGAGTGCACCAATCGATTGATGAAGGCCATTGGCACCTGGAATCACACTCTGAGAAAGGCCTGGCGCAATAAATCGGTATGACATTATTCAGTCTCCTCTGAATTTCATCCCAAAGATGTTCAATTGGGATTAAATCAGGACTAAGGGCTGGCCACTGTATAATGTTGACACCGTACAGCTGTAGGAAGTCCCGTGTAGCTCTGGCAGTATGGGCCCGGGGGTTATCATGTTGGAAAATGTTCCGGTGACGTGCGAAATCTGGTATGACGTGGGGTCTGAGGGCTTGGTCGATGTAGCGCACCGCTGTGATGCCGCCTCCTCTCCCTGGACCAAGGTTCTGGAACACCACAGGACCCACTCTCTGGTTCAGGCCTATTCCACCCCATACCATGATGCTTGCACCTCCCCATGAGTCTCTTTCCATAACACATTGGTCTGAGTAACGCTGGCCACGTCGTCGCCATATTCTTGTTCTGCCACCTGCAGTTGATACGCAGTACCGACTCTCATCTGTGAACAGAACAGTTCTCCATTGCCTGTATCGCCAGTTTTGGTGTTGTAGGGCAAACTGTAGACGTTCACGCCGATGACGAGGGGTGAGGATAGGTCCACGGTAAGGTTACGGCAATGGAGGAATTCCCGCTGTTAAGACGTCGGCGTACTTTATCAGTACTGATTGGTCTTCCGTGTGTTCCCACTGTCTGGCGTGCTGTTTCGGATGCCTGCATGAAAGGAATCTGTAAATGCTGTCGCACAACATGGCGGTCTTGTCGTCTTATGGTCACCCTTGGTCTGCCAGTACGGGGGCGATCATTTGTGGTGTTGGTGGCCGGGAAACGTTGCTGCAGCCTGTAGATGGTCCGAACGTTGACCTGGAAGTGATTGGCAACGGCTTGTGAAGTGTGGCCAGCTTCAAGTCTTCCTAGCACCTGGTTCCTCTGAGCTGTCGTGAGTCGCGGCATCCTGCGGACGTTGTAATGTGAATGTTTCAACCAGGTTTAGGGGTGCATTTTATAGGGCTGGTCCTTGTGAACAGCACGTGCAGCATGAGTTGCATGAAAAACATGGAGAACACCATACCATCTCCGAGATCAGGTTGCGTTTTTGAGACCATTTCCTTGGTTCCATTCTGAGTTTGGGAAGGAATGTCTTTGCTCAGGTAAAGTTGGAGATGTTGTCAAAAATATACAATCAAAACATTAAATGAGTTTACAGTTATCCGTTTCTGCGAAGGAAAATTCCAAACTGACGTTTCTTTTGCTGCTTAGTATATTATATAATTGTGGTTGTAACAAATAAACCCATTTAAATTGAAAAGAGCCCAAGGGAGACCAGAGATCCTGAACCTGAGGACTTGCTTCATTTATGGCTTTAGCATTGCAGTGAGGGCTAGGCAGCAGGGAGAATTATATGGTTTAGGGACAATGAGACAGACTATTCAAGCCTCGGTTGCTGAAGACCAATTCTAACCCGGATGTTGACGTGTCCATTCCATGAGGAGTGTGTTGAGTGAGACATTACGTCCAGCCCCGCCATACCTGACGTAGTCCTGTATGAGAAGTTCCAGCTGAGCCATGGTCAGGTCCGGCTGCTGCAGCTGTGTCTGGAGATCCTGGGAGAACTCGTCGATGATGGAGCTGATGCAGGAGCAGGTCACGTTCACCACTCTGAAACGTCGTGAGGACGATGTGCAGATGGTGAGGTATTGTATTTGGTTTCACATAAGAGTGTTACGTCTTCAAGAAGCTGATAATCTTTTCAACCTTAAGCGATTTTCTTGAAATGAATTTTGCATGAGATTGCGTGTATAATGTACCTTCCGTAAGATCTCGTGTAAAATGAAGCGTTCGTTAAATCTCGGGTATAGTATTCCTTCATGACACCTCGTGAATAAGGTCCGTCAAAGAAATCTCGTGTTGAGTGTGTCTAGCATGATATCTCATGTGTGATGTATCCTGCATGAGATATCGTGTATAATGATCGTTCCGTTAAATCGCGTCTATAATATACCTTGCGTGAAATATGTTCTTTGTGTGAGATCTCTTAAATGGTGTATTTTTGTGTGAGATCTCATTCATGCTGTACTATGAGTGAGATCTCGTGCATGGTGTACTGTGTGTGAGATCTCGTCACGACGGGTGTCCTTTGTGTGAGATCCCGTGTATTATGGTTCTGTTATCCTCTAAAGTTTCAGGACTCTTGTACCCATCCCTATGGTTCTCGCTGTCTCAGATTACTCGTCCTTTCATCAGCTGATTTGATTTGCTACGCAGCTCTAACTAACTGAAGTCAGTAACCAAGTTCAATGCTGGATTGGCTATATAAGCCACATCACGACCAGTCTCATTGATTACGATAGAGTCTGAGAGAAACTAAACATTGGCTGAGAAAAAGAAAGTCTTTTTGGTGGAAAGCATTTTCTTCCTATCTATGGACAGTCAGTGACAGGTCCTCGCTCCCTCGCTATAAAATAATCGAGGTCGGGAAATCTGAGATCGCGAGAACCCTGGAATGCATCCAGAGTAAGATCTCGTGTTATCTGTACCTTGAGTGAGATCTCGTGTTATCTGTACATGTACCTTGAATGAGATCTCGTGTAATCCGTACCTTGAGTAAGATCTCGTGTTATCTGTTCCTTGAGTAAGATCTCGTGTTATCTGTACATGTACCTTGAGTGGAATCTCTTGTAATCTGTACATTGAGTGAGATCTCGTGTAATCTGTACCTTGAGTGAGATCTCGTGTAATCTGTACCTTGAGTGGAGATCTCGTGTAATCTGTACCTTGAGTGAGATCTCGTGTTATCTGTACCTTGAGTGGAATCTCTTGTAATCTGTACATGTACCTTGAATGAGATCTACATGTAATCCTTGAGTGAGATCTCGTGTAATCTGTAGCTCTGTACCTTGATGAGATCTCGTGTTAACTGTACTGTACCTTGACCTTGTGAGATCTCGTGTAATCTGTACCTGAGTGTGAGATCTCGTGTTATCTGTACCTTGAGTGAGATCTCGTGTTATCTGTACATGTACCTTGAGTGAGATCTCTTGTAATCTGTACCTTGAGTGAGATCTCGTGTTATCTGTACCTTGACTGAGATCTCGTGTTATCTGTACATGTACCTTGAGTGGAATCTCTTGTAATCTGTACATTGAGTGAGATCTCGTGTAATCTGTACCTTGACTGAGATCTCGTGTTATCTGTACATGTACCTTGAGTGAGATCTCGTGTAATCTGTACATTGAGTGAGATCTCGTGTTAATCTGTACCTTGAGTGAGATCTCGTGTGAGTGAGATATCTGTACATGTACCTTGAGTGAGATCTGTACATGTACCTTGTACCTTGTGGAATCTCTTGTAATCTGTACATTGAGTGAGATCTCGTGTTATCTGTACCTTGAGTGAGATCTCGTGTTATCTGTACATGTACCTTGAGTGGAATCTCTTGTAATCTGTACATTGAGTGAGATCTCGTGTTATCTGTACCTTGAGTGAGATCTCGTGTGAGAATCTTGTAATCTGTACCTTGAGTGAGATCTCGTGTTATCTGTACATGTACCTTGAGTGGAATCTCTTGTAATCTGTACATTGAGTGAGATCTCGTGTAATCTGTACCTTGAGTGAGATCTCGTGTAATCTGTACCTTGTGAGATCTCGTGTATCTTGAGAGATCTCGTGTGTATCTGTACATGAGATCTCTTGTAATCTGTACATGTACATTGAGTGAGATCTCGTGTAATCTGTGTACCTTGAATGAGATCTCGTGTAATCTGTACATGTACCTTGAGTGGGATCTCATGTAATCTGTAATGAGATCTCGTGTAATCTGTATCTCGTGTTATCTTGTAATCTGAGTTGTACTGAGATCTCGTGTTATCTGTACTGTACCTTGAGTGAGATCTCGTGTAATCTGTACATTGAGTGAGATCTCGTGTAATCTGTACCTTGAGTGAGATCTCGTGTTATCTGTACCTGTACATTGAGTGAGATCTCGTGTAATCTGTACCTTGAGTGAGATCTCGTGTTATCTGTACATGTACCTTGAATGAGATCTCGTGTAATCTGTACCTTGAGTGGGATCTCGTGTAATCTGTAGCTTGAGTGAGATCTCGTGTTATCTGTACCTTGAGTGAGATCTCGTGTATCTCGTGTAATCTGTACATGTACCTTGAGTGGAATCTCTTGTAATCTGTACCTTGAGTGAGATCTCGTGTTATCTGTATTCCTTGAGTAAGATCTCGTGTAATCTGTACATGTACCTTGAGTGAGATCTCTTGTAATCTGTACCTTGAGTGAGATCTCGTGTTATCTGTACCTTGAGTGAGATCTCGTGTAATCTGTACCTTGAGTGAGATCTCGTGTTATCTGTATCTGTACCTTGAATGAGATCTCATGTAATCTGTACCTTGAGTGGGATCTCGTGTAATCTGTACCTTGAGTGAGATCTCGTGTAATCTGTACCTTGAGTGAGATCTCGTGTAATCTGTACCTTGAGTGAGATCTCGTGTTATCTGTACATGTACCTTGAATGAGATCTCGTGTAATCTGTACCTGGAGTGGGTTCTCGTGTAATCTGTACCTTGAGTGAGATCTCGTGTAATCTGTACCTTGAGTGAGATCTCGTGTTATCTGTACCTTGAGTGAGATCTCGTGTTATCTGTACCTTGAGTGAGATCTCGTGTTATCTGTACCTTGAATGAGATCTCGTGTTATCTGTACCTTGAATGAGATCTCGTGTTATCTGTACCTTGAGTGAGGCCTCAATAAAGACCACAGCCGCCTCGTCACAGACAAAGTGCCAAAGAAGTTACATCCGACCGTTTCCTTAATCCTTCTGGAATATGGAACATTGGCGTTCCTCTACAAGAAAACCATGCACACCAAATATTCCAATGTGTTCTGATAACATCAAACCACGATTTCAAAAAAAGAATATCCTTACATTTATGTCATACCTCTCATAATACCTTCTGCTCTATTCTAAATAGTTTTGCAACTCGTAAACATTTGTTGGCTTCGACTTGTATTGTTTACCCGTTATACACTCTGTATGTAGCAATACTGAACTTTGTATTTTCTACACTCTTCTGTCCTGTTCTTCTGACAAATTGATAAGATATTTTCTCTTCTGTTATTGAGAAAAGTGCTTGCGTACAGAAATTGGAGCATTGGGTTTGATTGTTCTGAGTATGTACAAAACAAAAACGATTTTCATGCCATCGAAGTGTAATAAGCTCACCCTGAATTTTATAGCAGCGTTGTTGACCAGGACATCAAGCCCGCCGTAGTTGTTCCGCAGGAACGTTGCTAGGGCGTCCACGCTGCCGGTGTCGGTGATGTCCAGCTGGAAAAAGCGAGGCCGGAGTCCCTCCTGGTTGAGATCAGCGACAGCCTGCTGACCGCAGTCAACATCTCGAGCTGCATGCCGGGAGTGAATCAGTCAGTTTGGTTTAGAGTTATATCAGAGCATGTGGGCTTTCCATCGAGGAAATCCCCAATGTCTTTGAAGTTTAATACTTTGACAAAACCCATGAGCATGGGTATGGTGCAGACACACTAACATCGTCGTCAGGGTGTACATGGGCTTCGAACCCGCAATTTTAAGGCTCCGGTCACCAGATGCAAGATGGAGTTGTGGACCCTAAACGACTGGACCTCCCGGGACCTTCCGGAAAATGTATGGAACTACCTTCAGATCGAGACAGGCCAAATGCTGATATTTTTCCGTATAAAGCATAAATGCTTCTTTCAGACCACGGAGCTCTATCGATTTACATGATACATCTCGAATTAGAAGAGTTCGAAAAAACTAGGTTATATAGTAGCCAGATGGAATTTGCAATGGGATATGTCATGATTTGTATATGAGTGTATTTATTATTTTTTTTCAGTATTCATTATTGATCAATATTAATTCATTTTAGATTATTTATATTAATACAGTAGTGTTATACATGCACCCACCTGTAAGAATGACGTCACCATTAAACTGCTTGCACAGTGCTCTGACAATACCGAAGCCAACGCCCTTGTTCGCCCCCGTGACCTGATGCAGTCAATACAGGGTCGGTATCAAGGCATGTAAACAAATACAATCACATCTTGTTTTGCCAATATGTGGTACTTAAATATAATGCTAACAGATCTGACGACTCTGTTAAAAGTAGAAATTCCAATCAACACAATTTGTTACACCGCCGTCGAATGTTTCAAACAATATGTTATATCTTGAGACTAACAATACCGGCTTAAAACACAACAACGTGTTAAAAAATGTATTTGAGGACAAAGAAGGATACTCTTTTTCCTCATCTATGTACAAAAAGACAATTCTGTATCCGTAAACCAACAAAGAAAGGTTTGGCATTATGGATGTGTTATTAAGTATATTCTACGCGATACAATATCACAATATCAATATTTTGTCATGTAATTGTTTAATTCGGTAACTTGACACCCGTCTATCCTGACGAAGGGGGATTGTTGTTGCTGTTTTAATATTACTTTATACTCCGTTTGTCAGCAGTAGGGCAGAACACATGTGTAACCCTCTTGTGCAGTATTATTGTTTAGCGGTATGCTATCACTACAGACTACCTGCTTACGCACCCATTGTAACTGACCATACTACTTTCTGTTTTAGTGGGGCGGTGGGGTAGCGTCGTGTTTAGAACGTTAACTCGTCGCGCCGAAGACCCGGGTTCGATTCCCCACATGGATACAATGTGTGAAGCCCATTTCAGGTGTCCTCTGCCTGGATATCGCTGTAATATTGCTAAAAGTGGCGTAGAAGTAAAGAGACTCATTCTAATTTCGTGGTATTGCTAACATCGACCTCAAGCGGCCCACGGGTAGCCCACTCGTCTGTGGCGCGACAATTCTGTGATTATGATAATCCGGTGATTATGGGTTCGAATCCTGGTTAGCCATGGTTATGTTTCCAGGTTTGTCAGTACCCCTTGCTCGCTGGTTTCACCAAAATGGTATACGTCCTTGACCTACATCTTTGGGCCTTACTGTCACACTAAGCTGATACAACTGGAACGTTGTTCAAAGCGGCGTTAAAACACCAACTCACTCACTCACTCGATCAACTCTATGTTCATAATGACCCATCATCTATTTACTTGAAACTAGTGAGACTGATGATTATAGTTCCAAACTGGATTCCTCCCAGTGTTGGCAGAGATGAGTCACGTTGTCGATGGACACAGTGTCCCGCGGACGAGAATTCACGGTCACCAGATTATTACACATCTCAACAATCTAGTGGCCGTCGCCATATTCACAGGAATATGGCGTGATATCTTATAATACATCATAAATATTAACCATTAATGACTTTCTCAAACTGGTTTGTGTGCGGAGGGATCAGAGGTATGCTGTTTTCAGTGCAATCATGCAATACCACTACTTCATTTCTACTCGGAGTTTAACGAGGGAAGCAGAATGTGTAGACGCTTCATGTCTGAATATACATCATTTTGGTAGAAACAAATAACTCCTTTTAAACTGTAAATGAACACCCATGAGATGGGGAAATCTGAACCGGAGGAAATCTAGGCTTGCTTCATTTAGGGCTGAGCGGACCACGACATTTTGTTTGTACATACCACTGCCACTCGTCTCTCTGAAGTAGTGGTCTTGGAATTCATGTGGTTGATAAGTTTGTTATCCACGACTGAGATAGCAAATGAGTCTACATCCGGTAACAACGCCGACCTACTGGTGTAACGTTGCAAAAAACATCATCAGTGAAGCTCTACCTCACAGCAGACCCATAGCTAAACATGAGATGTATGCAATATCACAAGCAAGCACGTGTTGATTATCCACGATGACGGTTCACTTTGTTTCTGTTACCAGCCCCGATAAGGGATAATATCTGGTGACACAGGGTATCTGTGACAAAGGTCATCTGTACATAATATCTACTTCATTGTTCTTCAGTCCATTTTAAAGTTGATATGTGTGGGGTTTTTTTCTGCATGGCTGTGGTGTGTGGTTTCATGGTATATGTAAAGTGGGTCTGTGTTGCAAGACTTGCTACCGGACGCTGTGTTTAGTGACTTAGTAATGAGACACATCTGGTCAGTAAGTAGGTTATTTATCAACAAGATTTTATCACCCTGGGTATTCAAGGGAGATAACCTAGTAAAGCCACACGAAGCAATACCTAAGTGGCAATTCCAGGTGAGTGAATATAGTTTTACGCCGCTTTTAGCAATATTCCAGCAATATCGCGATGACACATATGGTACCCATGTGCAAAGAATCGAACCCGGGTCTTCGTGTGATGAGTGAAGGCTTTAACCACTTTGCTACCTCACCGCCCGGCAGTTTCAGAAGAGAGTTCCCCCCCTTCATCCTATGGCCACGAGAGACGAGTGAGAGAGTGAGTGAGTTTAGTTTTACGCCGCACAGCAATATTCCAGCTATATGGTGGCTGTCTGTAAATAATCGAGTCTGGACCAGACAATCCAGTGATTAACAGCATGAGCATCGATCTGCGCAATTGGGAACCGATGACATGTGTCAACCAAGTCAGCGAGCCTGACCTACCGATCCCGTTAGTCGCCTCTTACGACAAGCATGGGTTACTGAAGATTGATTCTAACCTGGACCTACCAGAGGGCCATGAGAGACGACTTTATTTATCGGGTGCTCAAGTTCATTGACTTGTGTAATTGCGGGTCATTGAGACCTAATGGATCGCTGCTCCTAATATCAATCGCTAGTACGTTTGGTCCAATTTATGAACCCGTGAAGGTCCGGGTTAGAATGAGTTTTCAGTAACCCATGCTTGTCGTAAGAGGCGACTAACGGGATCGGGTGGTCAGGCTCGCTGACTTGGTTGACACGTGTCATCGGTTCCCAATTGCGCAGATGGATGCTGATGCTGTTAATCACTGGTTTGTCTGGTCCAGACTCGACTATTTACAGACTGCCGCCATATAGCTGGTATATTGCTGAGTGCGGCGTAAAACTAAACTCACTCACTCACCAATTCATGAAGCTGGCATACTGCTGTGTGAGAGATTTGAGATATTCTAAACAAAAAGACAAAAGACAACAACAAAAAAAAGAGAAAAAGAAGAAGAAACAAAATTAAAATAAACAGGAAAATATTTTTTGAAATAATATAGGTATAGATAATAAAATGCGTCATCATGTAGGCGATATGAGGAAACACCAGTGAATCACATCATTAAGAAGAAAAAAAACACACCTCTCCTACATATCAGTGTTAGTGAACATTCCAGGGCAACATGATACTACTTGCCCGCTTTTAGTTTACAAACTTGGTTCATTGTCCGCTGTTTCCCATTTGTATGACTTTGACAGAAAACATCCGAACTCCATCAAGAGGACAGGCCGGTCTTCCTCGGCATTGAAAAAATACAACATATGCTATGATCTGGAGACAAGGTTTCTTTTCACATTACCGAATCTAAGAATGAAGGGCAATAGGTTCAGATGTTTTTCTCAGTTCTGTTCAAGTTCGAGGTCATTTCTGGTGTACATTTGATGACAAAATGATGTACATTACATGAAAACGCTACTTCGTGTAACTTCGTAAAACTTCGTGTACCTTCGTATACCTTCGTGTAACTTCATGTAACGTCGTGTAGTGCTTCTTAATATTATTCACTGATGTGCCATGAAATATAAATAAAGGACAATTTACTGACCACTATGTTATCACAGTATCTACAAGGGACGTTAACCTCATTTTCCTCTCATGTCACCAGGTCCGGGTTAGAATATTGATCTTCATTAACCCATGCTTGTCGTAAGAGGCGACAGCCCTCCTGAAGTGTATCCCCATCTCACCGTCCCTGCAAATACAACCCAGGGATAGTGAAGTGTGCTCACTATAGGAAAGGACATACAACCGCAGGGATGCAGGATAATAACATCACATCGCTCACTCCTTTATAACCCGTAAAGATCCGGGCTAGAATTGATCTTCAGTAACCCATGCTTGTCGTAAGAGGCGACTTACGGATCGGGTAGTCAGGCTCGCTGACTTGGTTGCCACATGTCATCGGTTCCCAATTGTGCAGATCGATGCTCATGCTGTTCATCACTGGATTGTCTGGTCCGCCATATGTCCAATTTGTCACTGAAACAATTCAGAAATGTGTCGACATTACTGTGTGGAGCTCTAGGTGGAATTTTAAAGCGTTTCAGTCACTATAGCAAATGATGAAGTAAGACTTACCACGGCACGAGTGACCATTCCAGATTCCAGCTGCGGTGGGAAATGTGAAAAATGCCATTAGGCGTTCGTCGTGAATCCATGCCGATCAGATATCTCAAACTGAAGTCTAAACCCAAATGTAATTCAGCTAAGCATGTTGTTGTCTCGCCTAAGCCTAATGCAAATGAAATGTGTGTGTGCAAAATTGCCTCTGTTCGTCCAGCAGTGAATGGGTACCCGGTGGGATAAGATGGTCACATGACTGTTAACCCTCTAGCACCTCACAGCCAGGTTAGGTTAACCGGGTTAATAATGCCTGCTCTTTGTGCATGATTTGTTTGTCCATAGCGCCACTGAGCCTCTTTGGGGTGGATATTAGTCGTTCTATAAATATATTAAATTATATATTTGTAAATGACTGTGAATATTGAACTGCGACCCATGGCAGGGTGATTCTTTTGAATTTGTTATCATCTGATAAACCTTTAGCAAAGGAACCTACTGTTACGCTTTAAGCTCTTGGACTGGTTAATGGACACGGTCATACGGCAGTGAATCTACTGACTCCATAACAACCTTTGAGTATTTAATCTTGTATTAATTAGGATTGCACGCTATTAACGGTATATCACGATACGCTTTTCAAACGATACGTATTGCAATATTTTTTTCTGAGAACCGGTATATCGGGTAAAGAACATATACTCATGCCAATAATGGTTGTCATCCCCTTCAATTTTTTTAATTGGAGAGGGGTGGGGGCGTGAGGTGTGTGTGGGGTTGGGGTGACAACCATTATTGGCATGAGTATATATTTAGTTTTTGTGATTTATGGTTTAAATTAAAATCTACACAGACTTTCATTCTCAACAAATGTTTTCATTCGTTAATCAATGACAAACGGCATACTGTAATATTAGAAATTGCATAAAAAGAAAATAGAATCCCTGACTATTGAATCTAATTTTGAGATTGCAGTTAACGGAGCCATAACATATACATGATATATGTTTAGGGACTTGTAATGTAGGAAATAGAATTGACATGCACAATTATTGTCACCTACTGTCAAACACTTAAGTTCCTAATATATCGCAATACGGGTACCTTGATCGCAATATATTGCAATAAAATTTATTTGTCAGTACACAGCCCTAGTATTAATCATCATTAAGTGACATAACAGTTTGTAAAACAAAAACGTTGGAACTAAAAATGAACTTATGTTAATTCCAACTTATGTTAGGCTGTCTGGAAATGAGAACACAGGTTAACTTGCGAAATCTGGTGTGCAACTGACACAAGTTGGTTTTGTCACCTGACCATCTGATAGTGACGTCAGCAGCGTTACCGCCGGCCGCCATCTTGGCGGAAGAACGGAGAAGACAATAGGCAGCTCAGCCGACCCGGCGATCATCAGTGAAGCATTATCTAACAGAATGGACAGGCCATAATCATATGAGACTAAGTTTAGAAGTGCACTACTTTTGAAAGATAACACCTTGTATCTAAGTACAGTTTTCGCCCTAACACAGTTCCCGTCAATGGGCAATATTAGACGATGTGTCTCCTACTGGAAAACTTGATGTAGAACGCCAACATATTCATTGAATGAAAACTATCTTTTAAAACCAGTTTACCGGTGCAGCTGTTTTGGTCTGATCTACTTTTTATGGAACGAGTACAATGTACTGACGGTTGTGAAATGAAATAGCGCAAAAATAACCTGGATCATGAAGCAGACTGAGTATCACGTTTAAATTACTCACTTTGTCTGGGAGAGCGAAAGGTCGCGGGTTCGATCCCCGACCGCGTCATACCAAAAGACGTTAAAATATGGTACTTGTTGGTCCCTGTCTGGCGCTCGGCATTAATGGGTACAACAAGGACTGGTCGGCTCGGAGTCAGGATAATGTGTCTGAGTGGGGTAGTCATGCTTCACTGCGGCATGGTATCTCAGTGGGCTAGCACTATAAAACCAGCTTAAGTCTGGGCTAGTACAAGCAGCCGCACATGCACATACACACGCATGCACGTCGTCATATGAGCGAAATATTCTCAAGCACGACGTTAAACCCAATTTCACCTCACCTCACCTCACTTTGCTCTGGTTAAAGTCCATTTAATGTGTTGGGCGCAAACGCAACCGGGATAATCCAAGTAGTCCTAAACCTCTGGTAGGCTGATATCATATTGCATGGGCAAAATACCTTTATCTACAGTATATTTTAAAATTTCCCCTTAGTAGGTACGGTATTATTCCTCTTGTATCGATATTCGAGCAATATATAGAAGGTAGACCAGGGAAAAGGTTTCATATATTTGTACCAATGTGGGGAAATGAACCCCAATCGGCCTAATGTACAAACACTTCAACCACTGCCCTACCCTGCTATCGCACACTTCCTAGTGGAGGATCTAGTAAGAACATGTTATTGCTATTGTCCTTGAAGCAGGATTTTTGTAGAACATGTTATTGCTATTGTCCTTAAAGCAGGATTTTTGTAGAACATGTTATTGCTATTGTCCTTGGTAGGATTTTTGTAGAACATGTTATTGCTATTGTCCTTAAAGCAGGATTTTTGTAGAACATGTTATTGCTATTGTCCTTAAAGCAGGATTTTTGTAGAACATGTTATTGCTATTGTCCTTGAAGTCCTTAAAGCAGGATTTTTGTAGAACATGATATTTTTGTAGAACATTTTATTGATGCTGTCCTTAAAGCAGGATTTTTGTAGAACATGTTATTGCTATTGTCCTTAAAGCAGGATGTTTGTAGAACATGTTATTGCTATTGTCCTTAAAGTAGTATTTTTGTAGAACATTTTATTGATACTGTCCTTAAAGCAGGATGTTTGTAAAACAGGTTATTGCTATTGTCCTTAAAGCAGGATTTTTGTTGAACATGTTATTGCTATCGTCCTTAAAGCAGGATTTTTGTAGAACATGTTGTTGCTATCGTCCTTAATGCAGGATTTTTGTTGAATATGTTTTTGCTATTGTCCTTAAAGCAGGCTTCTTGTTGAACATGTTACTGCTATTGTCTTTTAAAGCAGGCTTTTTGTAGAACATGTTATTACTATTGTCCATAAAGCAGGCTTTTTGTAGAACATGTTATTGCTATTGTCCTTAAAGCAGGATCTTTGTACAACATGTAATTGCTATTGTCCTTAAAGTAGGATTTTTGTAGAACATGTTATTGCTATTGTCCTTAAAGTAGTATTTTTGTACAACATGTTATTGCTATTGTCCTTAAAGTAGTATTTTTGTACAACATGTAATTGCTATTGTCCTTATAGTAGTATTTTTGTAGAACATGTTATTGCTATTGTCCTTAAAGTAGTATTTTTGTAGAACATGTTTTTGCTATTGTCCATAAAGTAGTATTTTTGTAGAACATGTTATTGTTATTGTCCATAAAGTAGTATTTATAAAGTAGTATAAAAGTTTTTTAAAACATGTAATTGCTATTGTCCATAAAGTAGTATTTTTGTAGAACATGTAATTGCTATTGTCCTTAAAGCAGGATTTTTGCAGAACGTGTTATTGCTATTGTCCATAAAGTAGTATTTTTGTAGAACATGTTATTGCTATTGACCTTAAAGTAGTATTTTTGTAGAACATGTTATTGCTATTGTCCTTAAAGTAGTATTTTTGTAGAACATGTTATTGCTATTGTCCTTAAAGTAGGATTGTTGTAGAACATGTAATTGCTATTGTCCTTAAAGTAGGATTGTTGTCGATACGAACACGTATGTACCACTACAATATTGAATGCCTCAACATGTGACACTACTACCAAGCTACAACCCACTATCTGTTGACCTCGTGTGATTGATAAACACGGCTTATAACGGCGGCGGGTCAACTGAGCGTCACTAGAAGCGATCATGTCGTCCAAGCTTGTAGCCGTGGTAGGTTTACCTTCTGTTTACTTTACGAACCGGCGCATCTTATTTAAACGCTCTTCAATGCGAGTGTCATCAAATCTTTTATTTCTTTCTCTATACTGAAATGTGTCACAATAGCACAATTACCTCGTTTAATTGTGCAGATGGATTAACGTTGGAAGCGTCCTGTTGCTGTATCTTGGCTTTCTATGGCACTCGACCAATGCCACTTTTTCATTATATTCATTGTTTCAGCCTCGGTAATTTACCATAGACATATAACATCAAATTTGTAACCGCCATTGCGAGTGATGTTCATATGTTGATTTATTTGAGTGACATTCTAGACGTTGGTGGTATAGAGATGACCAAACTTTATGGATGAAAACGGTATAAGAATCTATACCGAAACGTTGCCATTGTCAAATAAGAAGTTGATCATTCATAAAGTTTTGTCATATCTATGTTCGTAGGTTATTGATAGCTTGCCCTTCCACTCACAGCCACCCAGGTCAAGTTGGTATCGGGCGGTCCCCGAAAAGGTCACTGTACTGAGACAGGCCAGTAATGTCTAGTCTCAGGTAGTTACGTTGTTGTGGCTGTTGATGCTGTATCTCAGGCAGTCGCTCTGTTTTGTGCCTGGTAGTATATAACTTAACTGTATTAAACAACTCAGGTGTATTAATGTTTAAGATGTTTCGTGTCTTTAATTTTCCCAAACGAAAAACCCGGGGCGCACAAGGAAAGAATGCAATGCGGTTACATTGGGGCTCTACAGTTTTCTTTTCAACAAACTATAAAAGTTAAAAATCAGAACCTTTGATGTTTCAGGTCAAGCTTTATTCTGACATAAATGAACGTAGAACGTCACTGAATCATAGGGGATAGCCTAGTGGTTAGGTCCGGGTTGTACATGGGTACAATGTCTGAAGCCCTGTTCTGGTGTCCTCCGTCGTGATATTGCTGGAATATTGCTAAAATAGGCGTAAACCCCAACTCACTCACAATTGCTTCAAACGTTGATGAAGTAGAATGTACAGTTTGCTCTGATCGATCAAACTGTGTTGACTATTTCTGACATCAAGTTGACATATACTTTCTTTTCATGTGTTGTTTCTGGATTTATAATGCTCACATAGTCAGAATGTATTTAAAACAATGCATAATAAACTGAAGCCCCGGCTAATCTAACTGGGGTGGCCATTTGTTTAGGAATTAAACTCTGACATATATCGACCACTCGAGCTGCATTTTGGACTTTGTATGGAATTGTCATCAGACGTTGTTATTTGACAAGTGACACTGATTGTTAACTATGGCTACAGTTACTATAGCAGTGAATGACAAATAGGTCAAACAGGTTGCACATTTTTTATGAAATATATTAAATGAAACATATATCAAATATTAAGATATGTTTTGGTACATTAAAAAATTCCCAAAATTTAATGGCACATTGATGAAAGAGTATACATTTAGTCGGCATTAATTACTGATGGTCTAATGAACGTTTAATACAACCGACTCTGTGAAGTCAAGCAGCTAAAGCCATCAATTTAACGTATAATTAGGAGTAAGAGTACCCATCAGATTATACATCTTGGATACATCCGGAATATTTTGAGAGATGAGCTCACAATTATTATTTGTTAAAGTTCAAACAAAGGCGACAACAATATCTAGCCTTGTAAACCCACCTGAAGGAATACTTCTAAGAGGCTTCGCTACAAGATCGACGGCCGTTGACAGTACTTTATATTTTTTGCATTACGCCACGCTGAACTTACGTCACGCCGTCATTTTAATTTGACGCCCCGTAATCAAGCGTGACCCTGGTAACCGAGGTGAAGGTCACGTCAGTCATTGCCTTGTACAGTCTCCTTCTCTGCAACTAACACGTTTAGCACCATAATGTTAAGCAGTCGGATGCAAGCGTTCTCGTACTTCAGCTATAATAGTTCAGGGCAAAACCGCACTTTATAACACGATAAATGGGGGGAGAAGCGAAATGTATTTTGTTAAACACGTGTGTGGATTCTGGAATAGATAAGTTCCCAGTAACAAACATATGCTGGTGGCACGTAAGGACCTAATGCATCGGGTGGACAGGATCGGTGACTGAGTTAACGTTGGACGCTGCTCACAACATCCATCACTGGTTTTGTCCTGAATCAAGTAGTTAGAGGCCACTTCAGCCTGCTGGCATGTTGCGTTAGTCAACAAACAAACAAAGAATATCCGGTTGTTTACGTTGTTTTCAGGTGACAGGAGCCAACAAGGGGGTGGGGTTTGGTGTTGCAAGGGCGCTGTGCAAACAGTTTGACGGTGACGTCATTCTTACAGGTGAGTGGGAGTAGTGTATTAAAGTTCACTCTACAGCCTATCAGTCGTAAAGTGTTATATATAGTATGTGTTCATCAGAGTAATCTGGGGCCCGAACCACAAAGCGTTCTTAATGTTACGGGGGCGGTGGGGTAGCCTAGTGGTAAAAGCGTTGGCTCGCCATGCCGAAGACCCGAGTTCGAATCCCCACATGGGTACAATGTGTGAAGCCCATTTCTGGTGTCCCCCGCCGTGATGTTGCTGGAATATTGCTTAAAGCGGCGTGAAACCAAACTCAGTCAGTCAGTCTTAATGTTACGAGTTATCGTAACTGTTTAGTTTGTCATATACTTACGAATGACATAGACCTACGAACGCTTTGTGGATCGGGTCCCTGTTTACTACCGGGAGCATTGTAAATATTCCAGTCAATGTGTTGATTGCAATGAGTAAATGCATATACCATATATGCTTGTTCGGAGTTGTCTGTCTCTGGCGTAAAGTATATTTTAAAGTATGATAAAATTGCAAGAGGATTAATATGTTTTTGCTGAAAATAATCTCACTTTTTGACGTCGAACACTGCTAGGTAGTACAGGATATTATTTTATCCAAGTTACAGAAAGTGATTTTGTAACATGGTATTTAGCTCAGACTGGCAAAGTCAGAAGAATAAGGTATTTTGGACAAGAAGTTGAAGCACTTTACGTAACCGGTGCTACGACATTTGTAAGCCAATGATGTACTGTAGAGTTACGATAGGTCGCAACTTTATGGATCCTGCGGCCCGATCCACAAAGCTTTCGTAACGTTACGACCTGTCTAAACTCTACAGTTTGTATAGTTTATCATAGGCTTACGAATGTCGTACCGCGATGACATTCGCCACAAAACGTTCCTAACGTTACGATATGATATCGTTCAATAACCATCAAAATTTTTCCCTTCCCGGGGGAACTTGATATATAACATAGCATATATGTAACATAACAGATACAACATCTGTTTAATATATATTATTAATATCATTACTAGGGCTGGATATTTTCTCTGATTTACATATTGCGATATATTGCAATAATTTAAGAGATATTGCAATATATTTTGTGATATATTGACTGGAAGGTTTCTGCCCAAGTGCGTACATCATAAATTCATATTAGCTCTCTTTGTGCGACATCATCTTCTCCGTTACACCATACTTTCAGGCTCCCCGTCCCCATTGTGTATGGCTGTATACCAATCGTTTACAGATAAATAAAATAACATAGAGCCTTAATGTGGAATATGTTGCACCAACGTTTTGCGAACATAATGATAAAGGTAATAGTATAACATGATTTTCATAGTCAGTGTTGTTTGCTTAAACAGAATGTACTTCAGTGCAGTATGTAATTATTGTTACTGTATGTGATTCATTCAGATTCAATGTGTTAACATGAACTATTCCCAAATGAAACAAAAACAAGATTTAGTTGAACTACTTGAGATTAAAATCGCATGTGACCTCCAATAGCTAAGATCCTTGACTGGAATGTCATTATACAGTCCTACATTTTTTCTAAGACTCAGGCCTGTAGGATAAATTGATATCACATGCCCCATTATGAAACAAACAAAAATAACAAAATACTGTGAACTGTGAAATGGTCACTCAGAGCCAGAGGCTCTGCCTAAAAGTCCAAATAAAAATTGGTCCATTTGAGGCCACTTAATTTCCTCCAAATGAGACCATTCAAACCCACAAAACGTAAAGTATTTGGTAGACTATTTGGCAATTTTGGAGCCACTTATATTGACACTTCCACTTGTAAAATGTTACATGAAACCAACAGAAATAAAAGTATATTTGGCACTTTTAGAGCACATTTGTTTGCTATGGAAATCAAGGGCAGATAATTCAAATGGAGCTAACTCTGGATGACCCAATATATTGCAGAATCTCAACCATATGGCGATAATCGTATCGCGAGATACTGTACCGGTATATACCGGTTTACCGGTAATATTGCACAGCCCTAATCATTACGACTCAGAAGTCGTCTGATTAAGGGTGTAGCATTCAAGGACTCACAGAACAGCTTCCAAAACATATTATGGTAGACACCTGCAGGACCCCGTTCCACAAAACGATCGTAGCGCTAAGATGATCGTAATCCCAATTTTCATAGACTTACGACTGTCTTAGCGACTTTAAGCCTATATTTTAGCTCTCTTTGCACTAAGATAGTCGTAATTGCCATACATTGATATGCATGTGGAAAGGGGTTCGTTACTTCTTCTTAAACCCATAAACACATGCTCACGATACTACTTGGAACTGAACAATCGACACCTTGATTCAACACAGATTTCTTATGGATGTGAGAAGGGTTGATTTAAACCTTGGAAAATCTCTCATATGTAGCTCGAGATAATGACCGCGGTCAGCAGGCTGTCGCTGACCTGAACCAGGAGGGACTCCGGCCTCGTTTCCATCAACTGGACATCACCGACACCGACAGCGTGGACGCCCTAGCGACGTTCCTGGGGGACAACTACGGCGGGCTTGATGTCCTGGTCAATAACGCTGCCATAGCTTACAAGCTACACGACTGACTGACTGAGTTTAGTTTTACGCCGTTTTAGCAATATTCCTGCAACATCACGGCGGGGGACACCAGAAGTGGGCTTCACACATTGTGCCCATGTGGGGATTCAAACCCAGGTATTCGGCGTACAAGGTACACGAAAAAATTAGGCTGGAATATAGATGTAGGTCGTACATATGATAACATTTAACGTGAGTTGCATGTGTAAGTAGAACGGTGTCCGATCAGTTTGTGTACATGTGATACTTCTTGAAACTGAGTCATCTTAAAGATATGTGTTGTCATTTTCAGGGCGATTCACCTGCGCCATTCTCGGAGCAGGCTCGGGAGTCTGTCAGATGTAACTTTACAGGGACTCTCAGCGTTACCCGGGCGCTGATGCCCCTTCTCCGTCCTCACGGCAGGTTGGTCGTCTGTAACGACAATCAATACTACAGCAGTCATTACTACTTCTAATACCACCACCCCATCACCACAAGTACTACTACTACTACTACTACTACTACAGCCATTACTACTACTACTACTACTACTACTACTACTACTACTACTACTACTACTACTGCCACAGCCATTACTACTTCTAATACCACCACCCCATCACCACAATACACTACTACTACTACTACACTACTACTACACTACCACTACTACTACCACTACTACTACTACTACTACTACTACCACAACAACCGCAGCCACCACAATTGAGTCAGTGACCCATGTATCGTTTCTTTGAATTCAATTTTCCGGGGGAGGGGCTAGCCTAGTGCTTTAGCGTTCTCTAGTCACGCCTAAGACCAGCGTTAAACCGTCGGTCGTCAGATCGAACACCCAGTGTGGATTTCCTCAAAATGTTCCTTACTGGTGTATTTCCGTCTTCATAGAAGAGGCAGTCGGGTAGCCTAGTGGTTGAAGTGTTCGCTCACCGACATGTCGACAATGTGTGAAGCCCATTTCTGGTGTCCCCGCCGTGATATTGTTGGAACATTGCTTAAAGTGGCGTAAAACCAAACTCGCTCACTCACTCAATTTTCCGAAAACAGCAGCACTCTCTTTAGCACGAAGGGTAGATAATTCGACACATGTAGATTATTTTAGCTTCGACTAAGACATGTTCCACTAAATGTACTTGTTTTAGTCAGTTATTAAACGTGTACAACATATTGACACACACATCTCTGTTTCAGGGTAGTTATAGTGTCCAGCGAAGCTTCTAAGCGAGCGGTGGATAAATGTTCTTCAGAACGACAGGCGCAGTTCCGAGATCCCAGCTTGACCATGGAGGGATTGCAGTCACTGATGGCGGAGTTTGTACAGTGAGTGCATCCTCGGCAGACAGGGGACCCATATTTCCTTTGGAATTGGCAAGAGCTCATTATCACCCTCCGACGTTTTATTATATACCTATATACACCGTAAACCTTTCCCTTACAATCCTTTCGTGTGCCACAAATGAACAGCATTTGCCATTATTGCATACAAAAGAAAATTAAATGCCTGAAAACGATGACGATATTTACAAGTCTCTCTGATATATATTCATAGTCACTTAAATGATCATTTATATTTCAAAACCTTTCAACATGTGCAACTTTGTCAGCCAAATGAAACGTACATTTCAAATGGTGGTCATATGGTTCTTGGAATTCATGTTCATTTCCTAACATGCAGTATGTTGTATTGTCCTTTCGTGTGGGTGAGTTTAGCAATATTCCAGCTATATGGCGGCGGTCTGTAAATAATCGAGTCTGGACCAGACAATCCAGTGATCGACAGCGTGAGCATCAATCTACGCAATTGGGATACGATGACATGTATCAACCAGGTCAGCGAGCCAGACCACCTGGTCCCGTTAGTCGCCCCTTACGACAAGAAGGGGTTACTGAAGATCAATTCTAACCCGGATCTTCACGGGTCTCGTTTTTTGTTCGTGACATGTGAGCTTCGACATATCCAATTTTGTTTTATTGAACTGCAGCGTAGGTGGTTAAAGTTCAATTGAAATGAACACTCATGCTATCAACCTCTGGTTTGTCTGGTCCAGTCTATTTTACATATATGATGTTGAATATGAAAGCGAAAACGTTTGCAGTGATAACAGTCATTAACGGACAAGCCAGTTATGTAATAGAAAGATGCTATATTTAAAACTGGCAAAAGGATAATTTTAACCATCGATCATGTTAATTCAAGACCTACCAACTTTTTCACAGTATATTTGGGAAGAAGGATCGACACTATGTTAAACCGTGTCGTCAGATCGAACATCCGGAGTGGATTTCCTCAAAATGTTCCTTACGGGTGTGTTTCTGTCTTCATAGGAGGGGCGATGGGGTAGCCTAGTGGTTAAAGCGTTCGCCGTATTAGAACAGAGGTTCGTAGGAAGATATGACAAGTAACCTCTGTGGGAAGTATTATTCACACTGCGAACTGATTATGAATGTCAACCAACACAGTTGTTATAAAATACACTATGTTATCAACATTAGGGATGCCGCCGCAGGAACACATCAAGAGCGGGGCTGGCCGAACACCGCTTACGGGGCGTCCAAGATCGGTGAGACGGTGATGGCGTTTATACTCACGCGAGAACTCGCTGCAGACCCGCGAGAGGATATAATTGTCAATGGTGTAAGTCTCGTCACCAGCCTGTGTTTTTCAGTTTCATACATATTTTTCATATACACGTATATAGGTATTGAGACATACTCGTCAGCTGTTGCTGTTCCGACTTTCTGGAATGTTGGTTATTTATATCTTAATGTACCTGGTTATTTCTGTCATTATGTATTCAATATGATATGTGCCATTATTAACATAATAAACGATTTCTAATGGGAGAGTTCTAAGTCTTCATATATAAGAATTATGCCTGCTGATAAATCCAGTTCTTACTTTATGTTCTTAAATCCAAAATAGCAAGCTTTATATAATTCGATTATCTGAGTGACTAACAATGATAAGGTGATCCGTACACGGCCATGGAGTAATAACTGTTGTAATTCAGATGACGTCACCATGTCTGTTTCAGTGTTGCCCTGGTCACGTGGACACAGACATGTCCAGTCACAAGGGTCCGCTGACCATCGACCAAGGTAAATACCCACCACACTCCCAGCTACAAGTAGTTGCTGCTATAGCTGGTGTGAATAGAGTTGAATGAGGAGCGGGCAGGATTGTGCATTGTACATTGAACTGAACGACGGGTGTGAATGGAGTTGAATGAGGAAGAGACAGGGTTGTGTATTGTACATTGAACTGAAGGAGGGGTGTGAATAGAGTTGAATGACAAAATGACAGGGTTGTGTATTGTACATTGAACTGAAGGAGGGGTGTGAATAGAGTTGAATGACAAAATGACAGGGTTGTGTATTGTACATTGAACTGAAGGACGGGTGTGAATAGAGTTAAATGACAAATTGACAGGGCTGTGTATTGTACATTGAACTGAAAGACGGGTGTGAATAGAGTTGAATGACAAATTGACAGGGTTGTGTATTGTACATTGAACTGAAGGACGGGTGTGAATAGAGTTGAATGACAAATTGACAGGGTTGTGTATTGTACATTGAACTGAAGGGCGGGTGTGAATAGAGTTGAATGAGGAACAGACAGGGTTGTGTATTGCACGTTGAACTGAAGGAGGGTGTGAATACAGTTGAATGACAAATTGACAGGGTTGTGTATTGTACATTGAACTGAAGGAGGGGTGTGAATAGAGTTGAATGACAAATTGGCAGGGTTGTTTATTGTACATTGAACTGAAGGACGGGTGTGAATAGAGTTTAATGACAAATTGACAGGGTTGTGTATTGTACATTGAACTGAAGGACGGGTGTGAATTGAGTTGAATGACAAAATGACAGGGTGGTGTATTGTACATTGAACTGAACGATGGGTGTGAATAGAGTTGAATGACAAAATGACAGGGTTGTGTATTGTACATTGAACTGAAGGACGGGCGTGAATAGACTTTAATGACACATTGACAGGGTTGTGTATTGTACATTGAACTGAAGGAGGGGTGTGAATAGAGTTGAATGACAAACTGACAGGGTTGTGTATTGTACATTCAACTGAAGGACGGGTGTGAATAGAGTTTAATGACAAATTGACAGGGTTGTGTATTGCACATTGAACTGAAGGACGGGTGTGAATTGAGTTGAATGACAAAATGACAGGGTTGTGTATTGTACATTGAACTGAACGATGGGTGTGAATAGAGTTGAATGACAAAATGACAGGGTTGTGTATTGTACATTGAACTGAAGGACCGGTGTGAATAGAGTTGAATGAGGAACAGACAGGGTTGTGTATTGTACATTGAACTGAAGGACCGGTGTGAATACAGTTGAATGAGGAACAGACAGGGCTGTGTACTGTACATTGAACTGAAGGGCTGGTGTAAAACGTTCCGGATGACACTGTTTTCTCTGCCTGTTTCAGGTGCCGATACTCCCGTCTTCTTGGCGCTGCTACCCTCAGGCGTGGAAGGACCAAAGGGTCAGTTCTGTCGTCTCAGAAAGGCCGAGGATTGGTGACATGGAACCAAGGGTCCTGATTCCACCCAGCCATTGCAGAAGAATATGTGCCGTCTCTGAACTATGGAATACTGTAAGAGACATTCTCGTAATCACGACCACTGAAAGCGAGCCAAATATGACAAAAGAGCGAGGCCGCGAGATCGCCAGAATGTCGCTTACAGATTCAACACTGAACACACTGCCCTTAATACCGTGGTAATCTATCCACCATCCCAAAACCTGAAAGCACGAGTGGACGTACACCTATCAGACTCAAGCACTAATGTTATTATTTAAACAAGGTGTTGTGTTCGTAGATATTAAATTTTCATTGTCCATAGTCGTATGTAAAGTGAGGAAAAGGCTTCTGTATTTTGAGGAACATGACGTTTCGGAGTATATTGTTACTCATTCATCAGGTGATACCAATATACCCCGAAACGTCTACGAATATATAACGAACCGTAGTGTTCTTCAGAATGCAGTAGGTTACATCCATACATTTTTTTCTGCTTTTTGTGTATCACTTCTAAATGCCAGGCCTAAAGATTTCATTATTGTATATGTCTCTTTTGTATTTGATTTACATAACCTTAAATCATTAAAAAACGAAATGATAAATCTTTTGAATTATTAACTTTTATTTATGCAGCGTTGGGTGTTATCTTACAGTGCCTGCTGGAAATTGGATTGAAAATTAATATATTTGCAGATTATTATATCTTTGTATTAAAAATAAGTGATAACAGAATATCAGAATACATTTTAATAGTAGCCCAGGTAACGCGAGACAGTTTTAATAATGGCTGTTTATAAAGCGCCTATTCCCACGCACTTGTGCATGCTCAAAGCGCTACCACATTATTGCCGCGGGTAGCCCAAGCTGCCTGTGAGGTGCTAGAAGGTTATAGTCACATGACTTATCCCACCGGGTACCCATTCACGGCTGGGTGAACAGAGGCAATTGATGAACAAACTCACTTGCCTAAGGTGAGACCACATGTATCACATATACTTCGTTTTGGGGCAGGACTGAAGTCCTAGAAATTCTCAGGAGTCAAGCTGCCAAACACGGTCACCCATTCAAGGACAGTCCGCGACCAACGTTGCTTAACTTCTACTGATTTATGACCTTGGCTGTAAGCACAGGACCACAGGATTGATTGATTGAGTTTAGCTTTACGCCACATTCAGCAATACTACAGCTATATGGAGCGGTCTGTAAATAATCGAGTTTGGACCAGACAAGCAGTTGTTCAACAGCATGAGCATCAATCTACGCAATTGGGATACGATGACGTGTCAACCAAGTCAGCGAGCCTGACAACCCGATCCCGTTAGTCGCATCTGACGACAAGCATGGGTTAATTAACTAAAGATCAATTCTAACCCGGACCTTCACGGTTGCAGTACCACACACCACCACCGGTCTTGACGGACACCCTTGTGGAATGCATTCCGATTATTTGTCATCTCTGTGCCTCTGATATCCTCAGTAGTGTCGTTTTCAGTGAGAATGAAAACACTGCAAGACACCTGGGCCCACTTGCACAGAACGATCTTAGCGCTACAAAAGTGAAACAACATACCTTCTTGATTATCAAGGAAAGGATAATAGCGAATGGTGTCCGCGTGCGATTAACAATGGCCGTGACCTTTTCATTAACTCAAGAGCAGATAATTTTACTTTATACGCAAGATGGGAGTGGTTTCCCTTGGCATATGCCGTTGCCGTAGTAGTCTCTCATGCCCAATTGCAGAGCTCAACATACTTATATCTCTTTTTCGGTCATGGAGTGATTTTGTCTTAGTTTATCATTAAAGTAATCTACAATTAGATACAAGTTAACGTGCAAAATCAAGTTTCTTTCTCATCCATAAATCTAAATTTGATTATGCAATTTAAATATATACAAGTAGTCATCAAATAGGGATATACAAATGATGGGGTATTAAAATTTTCTGTTTCAAAAGAATTTCACTTTAAGAAAAAAATATTAATCAACGCAATAGGGTTAAATAATTAATATACTGTGAATACGTATTTAATAACTACTCTCTTGAAATATTATTTAATGCACGTATTTCCCTGCCAAGCATTCTTTACAACACTTCTGTAGCCATTGTTTTATTGTATTTTATTCTAGGTTATATTTAGGATTTTACCCCTCCCTCCCCCAACAGCTGCGTATTAAACAACGTCTCATTGACAACCATTGGCAAATCATACATTTAGGTGTTATATCATAAGGAAATACTGTTTATATTTGTTATTTTAAGTTCCACAATTAAGTCACTAAATCTAGATCCAAATTTATTCATGTATTTTTTCATATTTCAGTATTTTCATAAAACATGGGTAGGTATTTCTGTGGTTGTAATATCACATTCTCAGTTCATAAATCAAGACAGTTAGAATGTAGAAAAATATATGCTATCGTCCACGTAATCGGTTCCTTCTAAGATTTCTGGGACTTTTTCATGAAAATTCTGCAAGGTGCGATTGAGGGAGGTATGTATTGTGTGCTGGGACCAGTATCACTTTTTATTTGCGCAGCATGCTATGCGCACTTTGAGACAACTGTAGACGGGAGTCGAGTTTAAGAAATTCGTACCTCCACCGTTGAAGAGTTCGATCTTAACTAAGATCGCGATCTTAAATACACGCCGTCTTACAATCGCTCTAAGATCGGCTTTGTGCAAGTGGATTAGAGCAGTTGTATGGCGATTGTAAAGTTGATTGTAAGGCCCTAAGATTGATTGTAACTAAGATTGCTCTGTGCAAGTGGGCCCTGGGCCCACTTGCACAGAACGATCTTAGCGCTACAATTATTGTAAATCCATAAGATCGCGATCTTAGGCTTCGGCTACAATCGCCATCGACTTGCACAAAGCGATTGTAGGCTAAGATCGTTGTAAGTTACAATCGAAACTTACAATTGGTCCGGACCAATTGTAAGGAGCTAAGATCATTGTAGTCTGTGACAAAATGGTGTTCAAGTTTCACGCAAATAATCAGCTTTACGTTTGGAGATTGCTATTATATTGCATAAAACTGTACTGTATGATTCGCCTCGACACTTCAACACGGAGAATGCACAACCGATTTAACGTCGGATACATTGTTATTTGCTGTAGTGAACCACAGAACTATCGAGTTGATATCACAAAGTACTATTCCCTCCCGATTCAATGTTGGAATAAGAGTGAAACAACATACCTTTTTGATAATCAAGGAAGGATACTAGCAAATGGTGTCTGCGTGCGATTAACAATGGCCGTGACCTTTTCATTAACTCAAGAGCAGATAATTTTAGTTTATGGGCAAGATGGGAGTGGTTTCCCCTTGCTCATGCCGCTGCCGTAGAGTCTGTCATGCCCAATCGCAGAGCTCAAGATATTTTCTTTTCGGTGATGGAGTGATTTTGTCTTAGTTAATCATTAAAGTAATCAAAAATTAGATACAAGTTAACGTGCAAAATCAAGATTCAATTTAATTTCACTTTTAGAAAAATATTTATCAACGCAATAGGGTCATATCATTAATATACTGTGAATGAGTATTTAACAACCGCTCTCGATATATTATTTGATATTCGTATTTCCCCTGTCATGAATTCTTTACAACACTTCTGTAGCCATATTACATTTTCTTGTTATATTGTGAGAAAACCAATACTTCTAGGGTATATTTAGGATTTTACACACACAAAAAAAGAAGGAAAAAAAACAGCTGTGCATTAAACAATGTCTCATTGACAACCAGTGGCAAATCATGCATTTAGGTGTTATATCATAAGTAAATATTGTCGATATTTGATATATTATTATAATTTTCATCATTATTAAGTCACTAAATCTAGACCCAAATTTATGAATGCATTTTTTCGCAGTTCAATATTTTCATAAAACATGGGTAGGTATTTCCGTGGTTGAAATATCACATTCTCAGTTCATAAATCAAGACAGTTAAAATGTAGAAAAATATATGCTATCGTCCACGTAATCGTTTCCTTCGAAGATTTCTAGGAATGTTTTCATGAAAATTCTGCAAAGTGCGATTGAGGGAGGTATGTATTGTGTTCAGGGACCAGTATCACTCTCTATTTGCGCAGTATGCTATGCGCACTTGCAGACAACTGTAGACAGGAGTCGAGTTTAAGAAATTCGCACCTCCACCATTGAAGAGTGCGATCTTAGCTAAGATCGCGATCTTAAATCCATGCGGTCTTACAATCGCGCTAAGATTGGCTTTGTGCAAGTGGATGAGGGCAATTGTATGGTGATTGTAAAGTTGATTGTAAGGCCCTAAGATTGATTGTAACTAAGATTTCTCTGTGCAAGTGGGCCCTGATCTACACACCCAAGTGGATGCCTGAAAACACGGCATTTTAGAAAATGCATTAGTGGCATTCTGCATGCAGAGATGCCAACCCTATTTTGGGCCTAAGTGTAATACTAGAGGTCAAAAAGTGTAATTTGGACCTAAAAAGTGTAATACATGTACTTAAAACACTTACATAGTGAAAGGTGATAACTTTATAAAAATTACTTTTAAAAAGGTTTATTCACATGAATAGGAAAGACTCTAGACAGAAATACATGTGACCAATCTTTATGCAGTTCCATAGATAAAAAATTGTTGGTCAGGTGACACAAAATACTTTAATTCCTTACAAGTTAATTTGAATGAGCGCAATGCTAAGAGAAAGCGATGCCTATCGGTGTAAGGCCATTTCTGAACCCCTGCGTTATGAAAAATATTCCCCTGTGAAATTTTATCCACTTATTTATTTTCGCAAAACGGGTAGAAAAGCGTAATTTTCACAGATTAAGTGTAATGGCGTAATTTAATGTTCAAAATCGTAATAATTACGCCCAAAGCGTAAGGGTTGGCATCTCTGTGCATGTGCATTCAACGGTGAGTTCTGACGTCATCGTCAAACCTGGACGGCCATACACTTACGATGGAGCACAGTGCCGGTTCTAATTACCACCGACAGTACACTTGAAATTAACAGTGGCATGTTTTTATCTCAGAGATGTTAAAGTTTTTGCAAGGCGAATAATTATCTCTTTGTGCGGATTTTAGGAAGTTTTTGAAGTCGGCACAAAAGAGAAATATGCAGATTAGGTTAAGGTTTTCAGTTTTTTAAATTCAGCTACAATTTACTGATCAATGGTTTTGGCACACTTGGCAGAATGCAAGTTTCAAATTTGAGGTTTCAGGTATGTGTTCTGTCTATCGATTCATAGATTGAAGTTAGATCGTGTGACGTCTTCTTTACTGACGAGTGACGTATGTGTTGACGCCGTTTTAACATTATTTTAGCAATATCATGGAATGAAACACCTAAATATACCAATGTGGGAGATCAAACCCGGCCTTCGACATGACTAACGAACACTTTCAACACATGGCTACCAGAGGGTGCTCACAGTGAATGGCGTGAAGCAATATTCATGCAGCATTCATTCTGAGGGTGCATGGTGGCCCATTGTTTGGGCAGTAGAGTCGAGGGTGAACACTTACACTTTCGAAGCAATAATCGCAATAAATTACAGTCCCTTTGTACAATGTTCTCAGATCACACAATGATATTGTTTCCGAATTCTAAGAATACCT